TTACGAATTGTCAATAAATCTGCATATAAATACAATGAATTTGTTGCAAACTGACGTGTTTTGAAAAATATAATTTTTAACAATCCCCTTTGACCTCGTTCTAATTGTATAAAATGAATTTTTACAGCACCACCCTATATCGTTATACAATAAATCAAAACAGATTGTGCCAACGCAATATAGATCTGATCAAGTAACTTTTTATTTGCAACTAGCTGTGCCCGCGGCGTAGCTCGCGAATATAGGTTTTACTTAAAGAATTTGACGTTTAGGGTAAGAGAATATTAAACGATTTATATCATTACTGTATGAATAATTGGTAACAAAATCAATCGATATGCTCAAAGTTCTAAGTCGTTTATGATAGAGCTTCTGTGTAAACGACGATAGAAGTAGATTTAGCCGGGGCGTACAGAAAAAGGTTACGGGGACTACTAACGCGGGAAAAAGAAACATAGAGTTGGCCATGTGCAAAACAATCAGTACTGAGGTCCACTCCTGCAACGCATAGAGTTTGACCTTGCGCTTTATTTACGATCGTCGCATAACACACGCTGAGTGGGAAACACACTTAAAATAGGGATGTTAGATGATCATCGATGTTAAAAATTAAAACTTCGATGTTTTAACATCGATGTTGACATATGTCAAACATCGAAACATCGACGTCAATGAACCCATAATCGATAATTGTGAACTTGCAAACAATGCGAACTCGCCAAATCAATATCAACTAAATCTTGCATCTGCTCTGAAGATTAAAAATTTTGAATAATTCAGAATTTCTGAACGCATCGTTAACCTAAAAAAATATCAATATGGTGAGTCAAACTTAATTGTCAAGTGTCTCCTGTAATGTCACAATGGTCACTGCTTTCGCTTTATTTTGTAGTGTCGTTGTCGGTTGTCGCATAATAACTATTCTACGTAAATTGATATTCAAGTTAATTGTTACTTTTCCCTTGCTGTGTATACCCACATAATTTTGAAACAATGTGTAAGTATCTACATATATACAAAAACTATCGATAATGGTCAACATCTATGTTTTGAGTAGCCTAAACATCGAACATCGATGTTGAGCTATCGATGCCAACATCGATGTCATCATCGATGTTATTATCCCTATCTTAAAACTGAAGCCTGAGCCGTGGTAGCTCAGATGGTTAGCGCTCACTGTAAGCTTCACAGCTCGAGCAACCCGGGTTCGATCCCCGCCGGCACCAATGAAATTGTTAATTGCAATTTTAAATGCTGATTTACCACGTGCTCGGCGGTGAAGGAAAACATCGTGAGGAAACCTGCATGTCTGAGAAATAAAAAAAAATATTTCGATGACATGTGAAGTTCGCCAACACGTATTGGGGCAGCACGGTGGACATTTCCTTGCCCTAAAACCCTCTCAGAAATGAGAGGAGGCCTGTGCCCAGCAGTGGGATGTAAATAGGCTGCAACTTTACTTTACTTTACTTAAAAATGAAAGGAAAGTTATTTGGTATTAGAAGGATTCTGGGTATAATACAATATTATCACTCTCACGACATTTATTGCAATTTTGCTAGTTTTAGTCGAGTTTTGTTGAATATATTTCGATATCTCTTTTTTCCGGTTTTTGTTTCTGTTGATTTTTGTGATGTGTTGTTAGTTAGCCTACACGGCTCTTACAGACTTGCAACTTCTTCAGACTTAAGGACATAAATTATTACAGTGAGTCTCAATACCTGCGAAAATTCTTTAGCAGGTATTCACCTGCGAAAAATCTTAACACCGCAATTCAGAAAAGGTTGTAATTTGTACAACGCCATCTATTACGTTCTTTGTGAGAAAACATCCTTTTTTAATTTAAGGAAAACATATTTTTTACTGTGTTTTAAGTACTATAATAGAACGATACGAAATATATTATAATAGAACGTTTTATTTGCACACGAATCTTTTTATTACTATTTCTGAGATTTTGTGGCGCCACTAAACAAATTCGAACCTACATTTCAAAATAATAATCATAACTTTCCATAGAATTAACCAATTTCAATAAAACAAAGATTAAATGAAATTTATAATACGCTTTATGATTTTCTTAAGGATTTCATTGAAAAAAAAAAAGATGTTTACTCAAAACGTCATGCGTCCATAAACAAACAGACAGACCGTCAGATAGTACAATTCTAAAAATTATAAAAATGTACTTATTTAATGATTTACAGTCCCCATAATGATTTTAGTCACAAATTAATATACTATACAATATTCAGAAACAGACACAACATGTTATTACCATTTTTATTATATGTATAGATTTAAAGAGAGATGGCGCTGTTAACATTAATTCTAAAAATAAGAGATACGATTGATACAATAAAAACATAAAAGAACTTATAAATCAGTGCCTGCATAGTAAGCAAAAAAGAAAGTTTGATCCTCGCCGAAAAACGAAATTGTTAATAGCTCTTAAAATTTGATTTACCACATAGAGTACTCGGCGGTAAAAATAAAAAATAAATGAGATTGTCAACACGCAGTAGGGCAGCGTGTCGTTAATATAAAGGTTAGAAGCAAATATGAAACTCATCTACAGGAAAAAATTTTTACCTGCCTTTTTGTATCACATTTGTGCCACACCACCATCTATCGATGAAATTGGTTAACTTACTTTAATTTAGTTTACTTATAATAAAATAAGGTTAATATATTTTGTATATATTTATTACGTTCTTTATGTAATACTTTTGTTTATTGCGTTTTAGATATAATTATATCATTATAGAACATTATTTTACATCATTTAGTTATGATTTATAATATGATATTAATTTTAAAATGTACTTGATGACTCATCCAACGCCCCTATTGAACAAATTCGTACCTATACTTAGTACCCATACTTCAGAATATTTGTCATAACTTTTGATGAAATTAACCAATTTTAATGAAATAAAGACTAAATGTAACCTGAATATACACTTAATAATTTCCTTAACTATTCTTATGATATAAATTAGTACTTTATACGTGATACGTTAACAAACAAACAGACAGACAGACAGACAGACAGAAAGATCTAAAAATGGTAGAAATGTATTTAATTACTTATTTTTAGTATCTCTCAATCACTTTTATTACAAAAATATAAAATGTACAGACATCTGCTATTTACATTTTTATTATATGTATAGATAGATGTGTCTTAGTGTTTTAAATATCCACATTAATTTACGTAATCTGCCAGAAACTAAGTCGACATGAGACATCCATGAAAGTCTCTGGTCCACTAAGACACCGATGTACTTCGTAGATGTTAGTCTAGTTATAGTGGGGCAGTTGCAATTCGTGCTAACTAGCGGCTGACAGCAATGAATCTTAATATCACTGGGAAAGTTAGGCAGACTGTTTTTTATGGAAAACAAAATATAGTTTGTTTTGCTGGTATTTAACGTTAGTAAGTTAAGACTTAGCCATTGCGAAATCACAGCCAAACCGTACTCTGTATTAATTTTTAAATTGTTTAAGGAGTCGCCTGTAAACACAATGGCAGTGTCGTCAGCATATATGAGAATATGCTAGCATGTGGAATCTTTATATTGCAGAGTTCGTTTATGTATATTAGAAACAGGGTGGCCCCTAAGCCGCTTCCTTGCGGCACGCCATAAGTGACACTAGTTTTTTGACTTATATGTAAACCTATTTTTACCCTCTGAGTCCTACCAGTCATGTAACTTTTAAGCAAGTCAAGGGGCACACCTCTAATCCCACAGTTTTCTAACTTCTGCAATAGAATGGAGGTAGACACGGTGTCAAATGCCTTTTTAAGATCAATAAACACTGTGAGGCAGTTTATCTTTTTATCAAGATTATCAAAAACTACAGAAGTAAGGGCTTCTACAGCGTTTTCAGTCGATTTCCCTGCTTGAAAGCCAAACTGTGAACTGGATAAGATATGGAACTTATTGAGGAAACTTATTAGTCTCTTGTTGATAAGTTTTTCTATAACTTTTGATATTGCCGGCAATACCGAAATTGGTCTGTAGTTGTTGATATCATTCTCATCTCCACTCTTATGCACAGGTGTTACTAGGGACTCCTTGAGCAAAGACGGAAATATACCTTTGCGAAAACACAGATTGACTAAATGACAAAGAACTGGCACAACTTCTGCTCTTACAAGTTTTAGGAAACTAGCTGGAACGTTATCCCAGCCTGGTGCACTGTTAGATTTTAATGCCATCAGAATAGAGTGTACTTCTTCTATATCTGTATCGTAGAGAGCAAAAAATGATATCTGAAAATTTGTACAAAAATTTTGCATCAATTGAGTCTTGTTTGGCTAGCTAATCGCATCGGCCAAGTTTTTGCCAACATAACTAAAGTAGTTATTAACTTGATCAACGGAATCACCTATGCAAGGCCCAATCTGCAGTAACTTTGTATTATCCCTTTTAGAGTGCTTCCGATATGTTACTTTAGCAATATTTTTTGACAATCGTTTTTGTATAAAACGATCAATAAAGCGAATTGAAACAACTATTTATAAAGACTTGGTTCCAAATTGTCTTTGTATAATATGATATTTATGCTTTTGTTATTTGTTTTGTTTTTGTTATGTTTGCTAAAGGAATGGGCCTCCACAAATTTTCCTCCCCCGACACAAATAGTGAAGGCCCTTTCCTTTTAGAGGCCCCGGGGCTAGACCAATTGTTGCCTTGCCCTGAATACGGCCCTGACGGTAGGAGTAGAAGAGTTCATATACTTTTTGGGTGTCACTAAAAACGGCGAAAATATTAAACTTTTTGTTGATAACTATTTTAAGAAAATATAAATATGGGAGTGCACGTCAAAGTTTATTTTGATAGCTTTCAAATTTATTTTCTATTTTTATTTTGATTTATTTTTGTGTAATGAAATCATTGTGTACAATTAATTAATATATTTAATCGTGTTCCAGATATTTCAATATCAAATAATATGTGATAATATATTTATAAGTTTGTTTGCTTGAAGTGATGACACGAAATAATGATATATTGTTTATGGCCGAATACATCAAGAATGTATTGTATTTTGCAACAGTAAGGCCAGGGAGAATTTTAAAGAATACTGCTGACATACATTATTTTTGTATAGATAATGAATTAATTTATGAAAACTATTACTCTGACTTCGGACCTTTAAATCTTGGTTGTATTTACAAATACTGTAGAATATTAAATGAAAAAATAGAACAATGTCAAAATAATCAAATCATTGTTCACTACACTTCCTCTGACCCTAAGAAGAGAACTAACGCCGCGTTTTTACTGGGATGTTTTGGCGTTTTATATTTGAGTTTGCCACCAAAAGAAGCTTTGAAACCGTTAATTGTACACGGTTATAGTTATCGGTAAGCCCAATTTTCTTTATAATAACTTTCATTTAAGTCACTATTAAACACATTTTAAATTAACTGCGTAGAATATCCTTAAATTGACATGACTACTGCTTTGAAACAGTCGACGACACGTAAATTATTGCACGCAACACGAAAGAAGTTGGGCATTATTGTCAAATTTTTTCTACGTGGTAGAGCCATGCTGCAGCTATATTATGGTTGTAGCACGAATGGGTCGGCTCGACCGGGGAAGGACCACGCTCTCACAGAAAACCAGCGTAAAATAGCAGCTTAACGCTGCTGTGTTTCGTATGGTGAGTGTAGAGAACCGGAGACCCTTTTTACTGGCAAAGAGGCATTCCATCTTAGTCCTCACGGGTGACAACGCATCTGCATCTTGAGTCTTTATTGAGGATAGATGTAGATGTCTATGGGTCACAGTAACCACTTACCATCAGGTGGACTGTGTGCTCGTTTGTCACCCGATCCTATAAAAAAAAACTGCTCTCGTCTCGTTAAATACGGTACCTATATTATTTAACTACACTAATACGTAAAGAAGAGCATATCTATACATTGATGAGTATATGAAATTGATGTATGTAATATTGAAATAGCTTCAATTAAAGCTATTAGCATGCTATTAAAACATAAAAAACAAGTTTTAAAATGTTTGTCTGTCTGTCTGTCTGTCCGGTCTAATCTTCGGAATGGCTGAACCATTTGTGATGAAACTTTATGAACAGCAATACCGGGAGAGATCTAGACTATGTTTTATCCTAAAAACTTGAATATTTTTTAAAGAAAAAAAAATTAAAATAAATTGTTTTTGATTATCTTAAATCTAAATAACGCTACATTATTAGATCCTATCTTTACGAAGCCGGGGCGGGTCGCTAGTTAATTACGAGTAAAAAAACTGATGATTTTATTTAAATTTTGCAGTACGTACTCGTATTATTGATTTATTTTTATTGCTCCCGTGTCTATGAACATCCGTTCATGGACTTACCCTACCTTTGAATTTTATTTCATATGTTTAATTCATATAATTATGTAAATTGCAATTCTTAGAGTTAGGAGTGAGGGTAGATAACTAATAAGCGCTAAAACTCCCACACTCGTTTAAGAAGTATACAGAGTAGTACTGCCACAGGTACTGCGCAGATAACTAGCTTAGGTTTAGGTCATTCCCCCCACCAGTTTTAAAGATTGTCGTTATTCTGTCAGTCACGGTATTTTTTTTTAGTACAGGTAAAAGTGATGTTTCAGCGAGGCTGCACTGACGCATCCTGAATCTTGATGGTCGGTGTTGCTATTTGTCTACATACTTCATTTTGAAGTGAAAACTTCTTTAAAATCGTTGTGATTTGAAACACGATGAAACGAAAGAGCGACACTAAACGAGACAAACATATACATCTGTAGGACTTAGTCTGCGAGAGAATGAGATAGAATACTGTAATACAGTGTTTCCTATTATCTCGGTCTCCACTTTAGATGGTTAATAGTTCTTTATAAAAATGAACAAATTTATTAAATAAATAAAATTAATCATATTGCATAAAATTATCATATACAATCCATTCATAGCAATCCAATTTCATAACTTACTGATATATTCAATTAGTCATGTTTAAACCATCTAGCGTCTATTTTACGTACCGGCTTAAGAGTCAATTTTTTTTGATATAATGACTTTACCTATAGAATGAAGTAGATGGCGCTCTTACAAAGCAATTTTACTCGCAATTTTCTGAAGGCTTCACTTCAACCGCGTGTGAACTGTCGTTGCCAATTAACTCAATTAGCCTTTCAGTTAACAGCCTAGCTTAACAGTCTAGCCTCTTTTTTATAGGAGAGGGGGCAAACGAACATGCGGCTCTCCTGATGGGAAGTGACTACCGCCGTCTACGAACAACTGCAACACCAGGGGCACCAGGGGAATTCCAAATGCGTTGCCGGCCTTTAAAACTCGTCTTTACTAAACAGCGCTGTTTAACTAGGGGCCTGAATGGTATCCAGCCGATGCGTCTAATACAATATTGCACATATCTTGTAATATTACCGACAGTAGGTTAAGATGCGGCATAGACCAGTGACTTTACATGGCATGGTCACCCTTTAATTTCATTTAACGAGACGTATTCAAAGCATGCACCGTCTACTACGACCTCGATGCTTCGATCTGCAAGAAAACTGGTGATCGAATTGCACAATTTCTCGTAAATTCTATAGGAAATAAGCCTTATAAGAAGCTGTCGCGTGGCTTTTTTATATAAAAGAAGGGATTCGGTTGCCGTTGGATTTCTGAGTAAAAGTGTTTATTTTAAGTATCACATTCTCAAAATTCTGTGTTAAACCTTGAAATAACAACAAGTATTCATAAATTAAGATTATTATGATTTTGAAAGTAATTTCTAAAGGATTTTTAAAGCTATCTCAAACTTTTTTTTTACTACTTTATGATATTCTCGCTGTGCAGGGTCGCTAGTACATACATATTTCAGTACCTATGTATTTTACTTAGAATAATTTTCAAATGTTGCGCTTTTATATTTCAAAATTTTGCCATTTCCCCTTGCAATGTCTGCTTAACGTATTTTTACTTTCAATTCGTATCTTTTTAGGCCATTTCAAGATGCAACGCCTGGTGATTCATCGTACACAATATCAATATTAGATTGCCTTAAGGCGATAAACAAAGCTCGAGAAATAGGTTTCTTTAATTTTCAAGATTTTAATTATAGGGAATATGATCGATTAGATAAAATACAGGGAGGCGATCTAAATTGGATTATACCTGGTTAGTTTACAGTATATTTGAAACATATACTATATTGATTTATTATAATAACTTGATTACAATTCCATTTGATGGTAAATGGTAACGTAATTTTGGGCAGTACTTAAATCGTAGTAGCTTATTTCTATTTACTCTTCTCATAGAGATTCTCACACAGTACTCTGGACAAAATCATCACTACCATCGACATCGTCATCGTATTCATCATATTCGTCATCATCACCTTCTTCATCATCATTTGTGTCATCATCAGTGACATCATTATCGTCATTAGCTTATCTTATCGTTACTATCTTCGACATCATCATCAACGTCGTAGCGTCGCCATAGTCATGATCATTGTCATGTCGTCGTCATCGTCAACATCATCGTTACCTCTAAAACGTTCTCCTTGAACGATCGGAATGCATTCAAAGAAAGGGGGACAGTAGAAGAAGATAAGAGACAAAAGTTATAAGAACTTTATGATGAAAGGTCATATAATTCTAGCGTCGAATTTAAGAAATATGTAAAAATATATTCACTAATATTTAAAAGAGCTCCACAGCCCAGACATTGAGCAGTAAAGAATATTGCTGCTCAAAGCTTAGGCTTAGGCTTCTAATAAAATTAAAATGACATGGAGTATAATTAATAGTTAAACTGGTTAGGTCGATTCTCGCAGTTCAAACTACCAATAACAAATTAACTGAATCAGATCAGGATGCAATGGTTTTTGAGAAATATTTTACTGATATTCCGATCGTAACCACTAAGTCACTGAATTCTTCTACTGCCGTCGCCGAATTATTACTTACGTAAAATGTAAATGCGTGTACAAATAATTTTACATTTCATAAAGTATCATCAAAAGATATATCAAAATATTTTAAAACTATTGATATTAAATAAGCTGCAGATCAGTGGGGCATTTACGTTAAAGTTATTGCGTCTATAATAGATACAATTACACCTCAACTAGCTATTATTTTTTATACTAGTATCGAATCTGGTGTGTTTCCTGCTTTAATGAAACATAGTAAAGTAATAACTTTATTTAAATCTGATAGTATATTAGACCCCCCCCCCCACTAATTTTAGACCTATTTCTGTACTGCCAACAACACTTCATAAAAATCAATTCGATTTCACTAAGGGTCGCTCGACAACTGATGCTGGTATTGAACTGATTATACATGTCTTCAATACATGGGAGAATTCACGGGATGCATTATTTATATTCATAAAATGAATCCATAAAATATTAATCAAGAAACTTCAACACTACGGTATAAGAAGTGATGGTCTTAAATTAATTGTTTCATATTTAAGTAACAGAACGCAAGTTGTCATTAATAATAAGAGCTCTTCGGGGTCCATAGCACAATGGGCATGCCTCTGGGCTCAATTCTCGACCCCTTTCTGTTTCTTGTATATATTAATGACTTACCTTACATAGTAGGGGATAGTTCTGTGTATAAGACTACCTAAAACTGTCAACTAAATCGTAACAATAATGGTTCATTGCTTAGGTGCCCGTTTTTTTTTTAATGCTAAAGAGTTTATATACCCATTGCCCCATTGGTGCAGATAGGGACTTTTGCTAGCCAGTTGATAGCCACCACAGGGTTTCAATTTCTCTTATCTTATTAGCGATCAACTTTTTAGAATGGACAAATATTGGAAGTAACGAAATCGATACCTGTAATGTACATTATATTGCTTACAGGTAAATTCCTTGCATTTATTGGCCCCGTGGAGCATAGAGGTCCGCTATATCACCGACCCGAAGAGTACATTAATTATTTTAAAGAAAATAACGTTAAAATCGTCATAAGATTAAATAAAAGATTATACGATGGCAATGTGTGAGTATATACTTACACGGTGGTTTATATTGTTTTATTGTGTGCTGGCTTATAAAACTGAACATCTTAGTAACATAATCTAGTAGGTAAATAAAATAGTTATATATGTTTTTCGCGACATATGTCTACTTGTACTAAAAAGTTTGTTTGCACGCACCATTGATCGCACACATTATTTTTATTAACAGAAAAGTTGTTAAGGGCACATTATGTAATTCCACTGATAATACGTGGAATAGTTGTAGTACACTAGTGTAATGATAATCTAGTAAAAATATAAAACTTAATTCTTTTGAACCGTGCCCATTTTGATCTAATTTATTATATAAAACAAAAGCGAATAACTATGTAAAATTAAATTATATTAAATTTCTATTTTACATAATATTATATGATAGGTAAAGGGGTAGTGTATAATAAGACCTTAAATTTTTGGTTACTTAATCCTTGCCTTAAAACCCTCTCAGAAATGAGAGGAGGCCTGTGCCCAGCAGTGGGACGTTTATAGGCTATAACTTTAACATTTTTTAACTTTAGTCTGGAATCTCGTTCACAAATTTAATTTGAATAATTTTTTTACGTTTTAGTGTTTATTCAACTCTCAGCGTTAGTGCGTTTGTTATAACGAACAAAAGAGATTACATTTTTAATAATATTTTTTTCCTACAGATTTAATAATGTTGGCATTATTCATTACGATTTGTTTTTTCCCGACGGATCATGTCCACCAAGAAATATACTTTTTAAATTTTTACAAATAAGTGAATGCTCTGAAGGTGCTATCGCAGTCCACTGCAAGGTTACGAATTTTAGTAATAAATTTGATTTATAATATCGAGTAATTGTTTTGGTTACTATAGTAGACACCGCAAGCATAACATACTAGACGCTAACGAAGTACAAAAAGAACGATTATGCACAAAATCTTAATGATTACGAAATGATTGTGCACCTAGGATTGTGCATGTGTAGTACGCATTGTGGATAGCTAAATACGTACTCGTAGTATCTGAAAGTGTAGTAGTAAAGTAGTGGTCTGTGATCGATATTGATTTATAGTTGTTAATTTTGCACTGGTATTAAAGTATACTGTCTTTAGTTGCGCAACATTCCTTAATCCTTATTTTCTTTCCTTATCAATCAGTAGAGATTTAAGATTTTGAGCAAACAAATATTTACATTTTTATTTATATAGATGTATAAATAATAAATTAATGATAGATAAAAGCTTCTTTTTATAAATAATATTAATTTTTCAATACCATAATTGCTCAAAAGCAATATCGATACAAGTGCGGTGCAACATTAATCCTTTCACAAGACCAGTAAGTACAAGCGCAAGCGCGATATCTTCGTTGCCGTTAACACGCTTTGCGGCGTTGGAACTTGGCGTCTACTATAGTAACATTTATGGTAGTTTTTTTGTATTTATGAAGGAATTGTTTAGGCAGGTTTAGGGCGCACTGGTTCTTTAATTGGTTGTTACCTAATCAAGCATTATCGTATGACGTCTCATGAAGCTATAGGTTGGATGAGGATATGCAGACCTGGCTCCGTAATCGGACAGCAACAGGTAAGGGAAGAACGCATATTAATACAAATATTTTATTGTGATTGTACCATTTGTTTATTAAAATTTATATAACAGGAGTGGTTGGAGCAACTTGAACCGTGGCTGATAAAACAAGGGAATTTATATAGGTAAGCAAATTCAAAACTTTTTGGTATACAACTTTATATTTAAAAAAGAGTCTTAGTTATATTTTAAAGTTAAAAATCACTTAATTTGTGATTGCTTAAGCCTGAAAAGTTATGGTAATTTAAATAATTAGATAGAGAATGTGGGATTAAATGAAAATTTTCAGAATTAAGATGGGCAATCTTCTTATACATAATTTTGACAGTAGGTACAAATAAATGTGTTTCGCTTATATTTGCTAATAAGTCGAGGCGGTTGGTGTAGTTATCGTAAGCGTAACTGCTGAACGTGAGGTCCAAAGTCAGAATCCCGGTACATGAGTAAAGAAACCGTACTGTATAGTGGCAAAGCTTCATACAACTGCGCTATACATACACTACTACAAGCTTGAGGCGCGTGTGTGCGTGAGCACTGGTGGCTCCTCATGTATAGATAGAAGGAGAAACTGCTTTAAACCGACTCGGCCAGTGCTCAAACTCAGGGTTATGTATTAAGTGTAAAATTTCATTTATTAAAGAATTGTTCGTGCCAAATGAAATATAAAAAAGTGTTAATGTGGTTTACTGTACTGTTTATATGAACAATAATAGAACAAATAAAAATATATCCGTTTTTAATTATCCCAATAACTCCACTAGGTAACTATAATTTATTATTTATAATATGGTAGATAGATAACTCATCTATAATGCCTGTCCATTGTGACTACAGCCACCAAACGACATCGTTCCGTTTAAATGTGTACAGCGCTGAATACAGCTGTTAATAATACAGTAAAAAATTAGACATGGTGCAATTTGAAATTTGTCATCTGCGAGTGAATTTTATCTCTGTAATAGTAACAAAATATATAGAAAAAAAAAATATGTGAAAATGACATTTCATAACAACTTCTTTTCCTAATGCCAACATCATCAGCCTGTGGTGCGTTCTGGTAACTAACGAACGATGAACAGCGATTACTAACGCAAGGGTAACGACCCTGTGCTAACCAATCTACCTAAGCAATAGTAACTAGTAAATATTTATTAATTAACCTTAGGATATTGGAGAATATAATACAACGTTATTTAGTTTTTCTTTATCAAAGGTTGTTCTTGTAAATACTCTGGTATCTATTAGGAATAAGTACGAGTAATTTCTTACAAAAGTAGAGATCTTCGAGCAAATTATTATCAATATAATATAATAAAATTATAAAAGTTTGTGACAGGAGACGGAAATTCGGTGACGAAAATAAGTTGCCAGTACACGAATATGGCTTATATTCTATATCTGAAAAAGCTCTCAAGCAGAAGCCAGTTTTATTAAGTAAATCACCTTCCCCACCACCTCCCATACAAAGGCATAATCGAATAGACATTTCGTTACAACCAAGGCCCCAGGCTTCTAAAACCAGGGATGGAGGTAAAAACTGTAGAAAAGTTGATTAATAATCGTTGCATTTATAAATGTTAAAAAAGCAAACAGTAGCATTTTTACCACGTTTTTATTGTCACTTTCTTGCTTGTCAGTCTGTCGGTCTGGATGGAATTTATTAATTGATTTTAAACTCGCTTCCCGATGAACTTGAAATTTTTAAATATAGCTCAAATTGGGATGACCATGCATGATTATGATAAAAAACGTGGTATATTAAAAAAATACAAAATTAAAAAAAAATCACTTGTTATTTTATGTTTTTGATACATCAAAAACATAAAATAACAATCATGTTTGTCACATCAAATTATATTACTTAACTTTAGTCGTATCGCACTGCCAAATTTTCGTTTTATTTTTGTTTCGTATAAACATTATTATATATTTTACGGAAACATTTTTGACTTTTTTTTTCTTTATTCTATCATTCAGAAAATAATGAAAACGAAGAGACATTCCTTACCTCTTGTGATTTAACCGTAAAGCCCTCTGTGCCCATGTTTCGTATGAAAGGATGTATTATAAATAGTAGCACTGTATTTGAGAACGACGGATTAGATTGCCCATCGGAAAATTTAAATCTACCAAAATGGAAGAGAATTCTCTTTTGTCATTTGTGTGCTAACGTCTGGAACGAAATGATATGGAAATTGGCAGTGCGTTGCGTAAAATATACGCCTAAGTTCTGTAACAGTACTAATGTATGCTGCAATCTAATAGACAAGGTTTGTAATAAAATGGGAAATTTAATATTTTAAACGCACTTTGGTAAAAGTAAAAAATGATTTTCAATAAGAACTTTCTGTAATCTATATTGAATAAAAAATATTTTATTCTATTAATTTTAAACACATTTTGAACAGCTTCTATTAAGACTCTGGAAAACGAACAGTGCATCAGGTGTATAAAGTCACCAAATATGAACTGCAGTCAAAGGAATCAATTTATAGAGTACGTTTTAATAAATTTTCTTTTCATTTCAATAATAGTAGTGTTTTGTTCATTGATGAAATTATTTTCTCATTTGCACTTCTAGGAATCAAAGCGAAAACAATAAATCCTGCGGTTCCGGAGATCCTCGTTCCTTACGCTGGCCTGTGAAAGATTTTACAACAAATTTTCTTGAAAAAAAGAACGCTCCAAACTATCATGTATGAATTTCATTAATGCGTATAATAGTTATTTATTATAAAAAAAATAATAATAATGGATGATGCATTGCAGGACTGTTATAAAAAGGTTTCCAGTGGGTACGCTCCTATTCCTACGTTTTGTACAACTCAAGGTCCTATTGTGAAAACTGTAAATGAAGCCCGAGTAAGTATCGAATATTAAAATTATGGGAATCTGTATGGCACCCCAACAATAAATCGTTTTAATGCCTAGATACGTTCCACTGTAGGGCGAAGTCTTACTTATCATTTTTGGAGGGTGTTAGGGCAATTAAGATTTAACCACGCTACTCTAATGCGTGTTCACATGTCCTTGAATTTTTTTCAATTCCCATATTCAGGTTTCTTTACGATATTTTTCTTTACTTCCGAGCACGTGGTGAATCAACACTTAGAATTGCATAATAACCTTTTTAGTGCCGGCGGGTTTAGAAATTGTTTTTTGTACGTACATATAAAATACATACGTATTTTATAGCAAGTACATTTAACAGAAAAATATTCAAATATATAAAATTTTTTGTTAGTCTGTTTCTATTTACTATATAACATGGGTTGAACACCAATATACCTATAAAAGTTCACAGTTGGCCATGGATCTTGGGTGGATGGGCGATCGAAAAGAGTTACTTATTTTATAAATTGCGAACATACACAAACTTATACATATCTTTCTGTATGGTCTGAATATTTGATAACTTTATTTACTAAGACCGAGGAGCACGCAGCAACAGCCAACAGCAGTCGCCATCGATGCTGTGAGTTTCAGTTTAAAACGGGCGAAGGATATAAATTGGAATAAGAAATTTGAACATTTACGTCCACAGAGATAGATTCGGAAAAAATCACTGCATATTCATAAACCCACCGTATCACTCTTGTTCTATTTCTGAGATTCAAGTTTTTCTAGCACCTTCCTTAGTCGATTTTTACAGTACTCAAGGAGCAAAATATATGTGACGTAAAAGATGATATACAATACAACATTTTTATTGGTGCTATTAGAGAAAAATGTCAAATCACTAAATTTAACATACATTTCAATTAGATCGTTCTTGCTACCTACTTTCAATATGCTTTTAGGATTTTCTAATGCGAGCTTACAAAGAAAATCGTGAGAGGCAATTGAGCTCTACGCTTAGGGTGACATCAAAAATGCCATTTCAAAGACCTAATGCGCATTATGAATCAACTTATGGAATTACAACATGCAATTCGCCTTCATCTTTTCGTACAGGTTTTCCTTTTGCACTAAATTAATTATGAAGTATTTTAATATGAACAATTTAAACATAAACATAACTTTCTTCTGTTAGAGGCGACAGAAGGAAACAAATCAGGCTATGAGCAGCAAGCTTTTCGAATAACAACTGGAAAATAAAATTAACTACGGTTGCCAACCCGCTTACCAAGCGTGGTAACTATGGTGAAATCCCTCTATGAGGCAATGCCCATATGGGGGAAGCCTTTGTTCAACAGTGGACTTTTATTGGCTGTAATGGATGGAATGAATAACGACTATCACCGACATTTTTGGTTTTACCACGTTCCACTACCACTCAAATAATGTTCCAGTTGTTAAAATCTAAACGCACCAATACAGATTTTATACACATTATTTGCATAATAAGAAGTTTATGGTTTTATTTTTATATGATAAGAATTCATAAATCAGCTTATTTTAAAATTAATGGATAATATTTCTAGTTGCTAGAGAATTTTCTCAGCCGCATTACCGACGTCGGCTTGGCCGCAGTCCAAGCCCACCGCAAGCTCGGTTAGTTGCAGAACAGTCACGGGCTACCAACACACCGCCGCCAAAAGAGAGAATGCTTAAAAGAGATTCTTCTAAATCTACTATACGTGATGCGTTGTCGAAGCTAAAATGTAAGATATTTTATGTGTCTTTCGACAGCTAAATATTTTTTCTATATTGTAAAATTCATATATAATTATATGTACCCGAAGCCTATATCGTAAAAGCGGATAAAGTAATATTATCTTTATCATTAACTAATAAAGCATTTACACTTTTTACAATAATATGTAAACCATATGACACACATCTAAAAACTACATTTTTTGAATGCGAACTATGGACTATCAAGCCGCTCTCGAAATCGATTTCTAAATACTTATGACGTAATTTTAAATTAAATTAAACATATCGTCCTTTGGGTGTCTTAAGAAACTACAAAGGAAACCAGGAAATGGGCGTAGGCGTCTTCCTATTAACAACTAACAATTAAAAAGTTGCAGCTACCAACCCACCAGCCAAACGTGGCAACTGTAGCAAATATCCTTATTATGTAATATATGGGGGAGGCCTCCGTTCATTATAGTGGACGTTAAATTAGGGTGGCGCTACAATAGCAGCAGGGTAAATTTTAAACACAGAAAAATTAATTTGCACTATATTAAAATGTTTTATAACAGTTTAAATTTTTTTTGGACTACGTCAATAATATTAATATTAAATTTAATATAATTTTTTAACTCGGCACACTTCAATCCTACAACTGCTACATTCTTACCATACCTTGTATCTAAGCTAGAGCCATTCTGGAAGGTTCTTGAATTGTTATTTACTGCTTTTTCTTCTTCTTTTAAATTATGACTTCTCTTGATATAATTCTGCCAGTGTCAAGTCAGGTATTTACTGCTTACAACTGGACACTTTTTCATCTTGTCACCCGTAGGAGATAGTCCTCTTTACCTATACCCTCCATACATGGGATCACAGAACACAATTACTCTCTACCGTGAGATGCACGGCAATAAGCATAGATAAATAAATATGTAGCAAGGCAATAAGTATGGTAAGTCCTGTATTGTCGTTTCCGATTTTGTATTTGCTCAAGTACGAACTAATCAAAGAGTAAAGTTGTCACTGGCAGCTATGCAGGAAGTCTATGCCGGAAAAGTAAACGGACAGACAATTGTCAATGTCAGTGTCAGTGTCACATATGTGTCAAAAATATAACCTATTGAGTTGTAAAACAATTGATTTAAAGTTATTACTTAACAATGTATTTACCTTAATTTATGGTGCTATAAATATAAAAAATAAGACTAACGCCACCTGAAATGGGTGCTTTACTAACAAAAGCATTAAGGCCTATAAAGTCATTTAATATTGAAAATCGAGCTCATAGAGTAATATCGAAAGAAAAACCAGTCCCGGCGCCGAAGTATGAGGCGAATATTGAAGATTTGAAACGGACGCTGGAAGCTGTTCCCAACTTAGATGATAAACTTGATAAAAAGGATCCGGCCCTGGATGAGAGATTGAAAGACGTTTATGTAACATCTCACGGACGTCCGGAGGATGACATTACAAGAGAAAAGATAAAGCAAAATCCAAACCGGCCACTTCCTCAAGAACGAAGACAAGTTCAGGACTACGATTTTGGATTGAAGGAACCAGATAGGATTCCATATGGACGAACAACCTTAGGCCGGGCTTTAGAGTTTATTGAATCCCACCAAATGAATCCAAATGAAGTTACAGCTTCGAAAATAGCTTTAGAGTATAAGCTTAAAGAAGAAGATGTAGAAACAATTTTAAAATATTTCAAGACATATGAAATTTATATTCCTGAAACAAAGAAGTCTGCTGCTACATTTGCTGGACCCGCAACCTTTAGGAGGCAACTACAAAAATCTGAAATCAAACAATTAGAAGATAGCAAAAATGATAAAATTGAAACAAGAGGTAGTAATCAGATGGAAGACAAAGTGTAACAAAAGGTTTGAAGATATTAACGAGATTCTATATCTTAATCTTTAAATGAACATTACTCCTCACTAAAGTTTAATAAATAAATTAGTAGTTCAATTTTGGTTAGTGTCACATGTAGTTACAATTTTGATTGAAGGTTAATTTTATTTCTCCTAATATGAGATACAGAATTTTTTGTTCTAAATCAAGAACTTAGAAATTACTGCTTGTTGAAAGTGTAACAAAAATTTATTGCAATTTTTTAGAATTTATGTATTTTAGTTGCAATGTATACTGTAGTATATGTAAGATATTCAACATATTATGTGATGTTATTATAAAAATGTCCATCCAAGTATGAAATATAAACATGTATATAAAATACAAATATTATATGAAATTGAAAAGTAATAAGGGAGCTTGCAAATAGGGGTTATTGTAATTCACAATGATGTGTTTTAATTTACACCTTGATTTCATAACAAGAATACAAAAGTTAAAGGTTATGAAATTTCACTGTATGGTATTAATTAAATACATTTGTATATGTGATTCGCATAACACGAAAAGTTATTCATATAGGGCAGACTAAGCATTATAAATTAAGATTAATAGTAAGAGAATTATGTAATTCATGGTCAATAAAGAAATAATTCTTCTATGTACTAGATAAAAAATAATGAAGCTTTATTTGGCAAAACACACAAATGACGAAAATTTGACTATACAAATAAAAAATTTCGTCACTTTCATTCATTGATTATATCCATATCAAGTTCACTGCTGAAAATTTGCCTCCGCTACACATTACCTCTTATCAGCCATAGTTGCTATGCTTGGCAAACAGGTTGGCAACTGCATTTTTTTTATTGAGTTATTAGGAAAATGCTACTGCCCATTTCCTATTTCACTTTATCTTTGTAGCCTCTTACGACACCCACACGATATGAGGTTGTGAATTTTCTTTCTTCTTTCTTACACAGTCGATACTAAAATGGTCCCTATTAAAATACATACCAAAATGGCAGCCAAAAGTTGTTATTTTATTTATGATTTCATTATAATTTAATTTTAACTTACATAATAGTAACATAGTCTAAAAGACTATTGTTGACACTTGTTTGGTTACAAGTTTATAAAGAAGAAACTAATTTTATTATAGTAGTGAAGAAATAAATAATGTTTTGTTATTTACAGAAGTTTTATTTTGGCAAATTATAATTATTCATTACTAGCTGGTACCTGGCGTGTTACTGCTGCAGAAAAAACAATTGCGGAAATATCGTTTTAATTTGAAAGAGTTACATAGTTTAATTAGGATGATATACATTCATTGAAGTTGAATGATATATAATTTTCAAATAAATTTGTTGGTACTATATGCACGCCACCTACTGTAAGTTAATTGTACTATACCTATAACCATCGCGGAAGTGTAAGAAATGAGTTAACAAAGTTTTACCCTGTATTCTGTCAGGCAAGACATAAAATAACATGGACCATTTTGTAGGACAAGTTGGAATGTAGGTTCAGTTGTACCTAGGTAGCACCTTTTATTTTAAAATTGCAGATGTTCATCTGTTGATGGTCCTGCCCTCGATACACAAGTGTATTAGTCACTCATATCTACCAGAGAAGCTATTAAAAATTACAGCTAAGATGTCCAAACTTTTGTGACTACAGTAAAAAATATACTGAATATTTTTTTTGACCTATGTTTGAAAAAATTAAATTATTTTACTCGATTACCTGCATGATGCTCAGTTTGGATTTCAACCAGGGTAGATGTTGACTGAGAGCGTTATTTGCCTCAAGCATACTATCCAGTATTACATGGATCGCCAAACGCCGACGTACGCCTGTTTTCTTGGTCTCTTCAAACTGTTTGACCTTGAGTCATGTGATGTACTTTTGAATAAGAGACAGGTGTGCTCCACCAGAGACTGCTAATACTGCTATATTGATATATTAACCAAAATAATTATGTGATCTAATACACTCTGCAACTCCTAAATGTTGTATATATAATATAGTGTGTGGTTCAACCTGTATGTCGATGACGTGGTGGCGGAGCTCAGCAGCATGGATATTAGATGCCCGACTGTGGGAGCTTTTAGAGAAATATTGCAAATGTGATACTTATGTCACACATAGTCTAGCAATCAAAGTAAAAAAAGTGAATACGTGGTCTTTAAGACCGTCGATAAATATCCATATATTATTATATCTAACATTATTCAGCCCATAGAATTATACTACTAGACATGAGTTTCTTCAGTTGGAAGTAAGATTTACCTTAATCTTCCATACTTGGCACGCGGATCCAGGACCATCATCATTCATAATCATTACAGCCCTTCATACTTCCACTACTGAAAATATGTTTCCTCCAATGAATGCCACAAACCACGATCCTGAGCCACCCGCATCCATCGACTTCCTGCATGTCTTACCAGGTCGTCACTCCGTCTAGTGAGAGGCCGCCCCACATTTCGCTTTCCGGTACGAGGCTGCCACTCGAGAAAATTTCTTCCCCATCAGTTGTCAGTTCTTGGAGCTAAATGACGACCGCCCATTGCGACTTCAGCTTACTAATCCTTTGGACTATGTCGGTTACTCTGGTTCTACAACAGAAATTCTCATTTTTAAGTTTACGACTGTCAATAGAGTAGTTATTTGTGGCGGCAAATAGCAGCGCTTGCATTGCTTTTTTCCGGTCTGCAGAGTATAGAGAGCCAGTATACTTAGACTGTGAGGCATTCCATCTTTGTCCTACATCTTGTATGGTAGGCATTCGTAGCCTTCATTGTATGAAATTGGCTACAGGTGACCATGGACTGCTGTAGTCACTAAATATCAGGTGGTAAGTTCGTTTGTAACTTTAGTTTTATTTAAAAAAAATCCAGAAAGGCCGGCAACGCATCTGCAATTCCCCTGGTGTTGCGGTTGTTCATGGGCGGCGGTAGTCACTTACCATCAGGTGAGCCGCATGCTCGTTTGCCCCTCTCCTATAAAAAAAAAAAAAAAAAAAGATGTCTAGATAGTCTAAGCTCTATCTTTGACGCCGCTACCTGGCGCCTGTCTGAATATTATCCGTTTGTCGTAAATGGGATAGTTAATAGCACTTCGTATCAGAAGCAAGATATTTTTTGCATTTCCCATGGTTGCCTCTTACGTACATATTCGATAATCGATAAAAATAATATTGCAGTAGCAGTCCCCCGTTACGGTTCGATCGGAGCGGGATCAGTTGGGGCTGCGTCACTTGGCGCTCGGCGAGACGCTCCCAAACCCAAACAGGCTCCAAGCGTACGCTCAGATGAACGTCCTACCGCTACACAAGGGGACTTGCTCAACAGTATCAAGGTGAAATTTTATATTATAATAATATTAATAATACATTTTATTCGTTCATATAAATATGTAAGTATTTATTTATTTTTCATATTTGTTCGGTTACAAATCGCTCACATTTCTTATTTAAAGACGCTACATCACACTACGACATTTTGTATCGCGGAGGCGATTTACAAACATTAATTGCACAATGCACATGCACAAACATTCAATTCCGGAGCAATTTTTTTTAGACTATACAAACACTAAACATGTCTTCGTGTACACTTGGGGCGCTATAACGTGTTTGTTGGTTTTTCATAATTTTAAGAAATCGCCACGGCCAAAAACGATCAGAAGGATATCATCAATTATCATCAGTGCCAAATCCACACCATAAGCATAATCGCCATAAAAGTCATGCTTTGACAACGGTTTAAAAAAAAATTACAATTGTTTTTTAACATTTATGTAGATCAATCAGTTGGGTGCACTGCGAACACGTGTGGTTGAGACTTAATATTTGAGGAAAGAGATAGCAAATTCCTTTTAGTCTACTGTTCGTTACAGGTCACAGAGTCACAGGTGTCTCATTTCTAAGAGGATTATGGAGCAGTTAGACCGCCGCGCTGCTACTTATGTTTTTTTTTTTATAGAATAAGGGTGACAAACGAGCACACAGTCCGCCTGATGGTAAGTGGTTTCTGTGGCCCATAGACTTCTATGTACATCTATCCGTGTTTGCGAATCAAAATGCAGCTGCGTTGTCACCCGTGAGGACTAAGATGGAATGCCTCGTTTTCAGTAAAAAGGGTGGTTCTCTACACTCACCATACGAAACACAGCAGCTTTAAGTTGCTATTTTTCGCTGGTATTCTGTGAGAGTGTGGTCTTTTCCCGGTCTAGCCGACCCATTCCTGCTACAACTATACTATTAATATAGATGCAGCATGGCTTTACCACGTAACTGACTGTGACTTCACATATCCGCGAAATATTTCTTTTCTCATAAATGCAGATTTTCCTCACGATATTTTCCTTCACCGCCGAGCATCTCGTAAATCAGCCCTTTATATAATTGTAATTAGCAATTTCGGTAATGCTGTCGGCCTGTCGGAAAGCATACTTTATTTCTCGCGTACTATCAAAGTTACGACGAGCGCTTAGTCCTTGATCAGGTAAGTCTTCAAAGTACCTGCTACCGAAAACGTTTAAAGTATCGGTAAATAAACGTTTTTTTAGTGTGCCATTTCAAATAAATATTTGAACTTTCTACTAAAGTAAGTTGTTATTCTTGTCTCAGTGTCTCAGCAAGTACGGGCGTTATACAAAAACGGACGTAATGTTATACTTACTGAAAACACTGTGAAAACGTGTGAAGCACCTAGGACCTACAATATTGTTTGCCATACACGGTACATCACACATATGTGCAGCGCGTCTTGGCTTGATAAATTTGAGTGTGTAATTTGTAGGCAGTTTTCAACAGTGGTAGAGCCATGCGGCAGCTTTTGCTGTCGCACGGATGGGCCGGCTCGAATCGGGGTAGTACCACGACCTCACAGAAAACCAGCGTGAAGTAGAGGTTTACCTCTGCGTTTCGCTTGGTGAGTGCAGGTGGCCGGAGGCCCTTTTTACTGGAAATGAGGCATTCCATCTTAGTCCTCACGGGTGACAACGCATCTACATTTTGATTTGTAACAGAGGATAGATGTAGATGTCTATAAGCCGCAGCAACCACTTACCATCAGGTGGACTGAGTGCTCGTTTGTCACCCTTATCCTATAAAAAAAAGGCAGGTTGTTGGTGTCGTATCATAGGACTTTTTTAACGCCCGTGTGAGTGTGAGTGTAAAGATACCTAAGACACGGAAAAATAATAAAATATTTCTTTATTTATATTTTATATATTTGTTATTCTAGTTTCAAAGAAGATTTCGAGAAACTCTCAATAATGAAAAAATAAACTCCATGTTTCGTGATAACCAAGACAGGTAATTCCATTCGAAGAATCCTTTATTAATGAAATTATTTTTAAGCACTACATACTCACATATAATATTATTAATATGAATCAATTTATTTTTTTCTCCTATCTAGTCCAATCCCACAAACTAAAATAAACAGTAAGAATGTAAACTCTGGAATTAGTATGGAAGTGAGGCGTAATCCGAAAATGAGGTAAGGAATACCATGAAATTTAATAACAAAAAGTTTTCGCCTAGTAAAAATCTTTGTTGTCAATGTCAATGGCCAGTTGTGACATCCTGGAAAGAGATGTCACACTGGCCATTGAAGTCGATGGATGCAGGTGGCTTAGGACCGTTATTTGTGACATTCCTAAGGCGAGGCCTATGTTCAGCAGTGGAATTGTGAAGGGTAGTAATGATGACGATTATGATGATTGTACCACTTAGCATACACGCCACTTCCATCATGTGACATAGTTAAGCATTGGTTTACGGTAGGCAAAAATGCTATGTTATTTAATAAGCATATTTGACAGCTCAGTGTCTTAGCAATGAGTTACGGCACTGGGGGCCGCGGGTTCCGTGAGGAATTTCGCACGGAACAAGTGTTTATATGTCTGTACAAATAATTGTTCCAGGTTGGGATGTTTGTCCTTACGAAATTTATATATGTAAACTGTCTCCACGATACAGTAGAAAATCCTAGAATGGGAGTAGAGTATTTTAAATAAAAAGTTAAAATATATGGTTATTGAGTCACATTTCTGTGAAGAAATATATTTAATGTTTCCAAGGTGTGTTTGTATGGAAAAGTTTTCTTTTTATAGAATAAAGATGACAAACGAGCACACAGTTCACCTGATTCTAAGTGGAATTTTATAATTAAACTTTTTAATTGTAAGTATAATCTGGGGCACATTGACATTTGACAGGCAAATGCGTTGTCACTCCTGATGGAATACATTGTTTCCAGTAAAAAGGGTCACCGGTTTTCTACACTCACCATACGAAACAAAGCAGCATTAAGCTGCTATTTTACGCTGGTATTCTGTGAGAGCGTGGTCCTACCCCGGTCGAGCCGACCCATCCGTGCTGCAACCATAGTATAGCTGCAGCGTGGCTCTGCCATGATCTAAGTGCGAAAAGAACTATACAGTTTTCTAAAGTACAATAAAACGTACACTTGCATATTATATTACGTCAAGTAATATGACAATAACTGTGTAGTGGCGGTGTAAGAATATCCACTACCCCATATTGTCCTATGGATGTCTACAGGTGACAGAGGGAAACTAACCAGGAGATGGGCAAAAGGGTATTTACATATATATTCTAATAACAAATATAAAATTAAATTAACTACGGTTGCCAACCCGCCAGTAAAGCGTTGTTACTATAGCAACCAAAGAAGACAATCTATGAGAGACGCTTATGTTGTTTGGATGAGCTGTAACGGTGACAGTAATAAGAGTTTAATTTACAGTAAACCGGGTGATAAAACCGTAGGCGGAACATCAAGATCTTTGTTCAACAGACCCAGTTCTCCAAAAGGAAGGCACAGTATGCAGAACTCATTTTTTTATTAAAAAGAAAATTGCAAATGAAAAGTGTTGGTAAATTATAAAGTGATGTTAACTGGTGTTGTCGATTTGATCAAATTAAAATATTTAAATTAAACACAAATTTTATTACTTATTTTCTTTATTTACAATAGAACTTGTAAACAAATATTATATACACGAATCATAAAGTCATTGTCCCATTTTAAGAAACAAACATACTCAATAGCTGCTAAATTTTAAGATGCCGTTAAATCTCGTGCTGTCTCTATCACTTAAGATAATTAATAGAATTAGGCGTTACTTTGCGGAAGTCCAGTATATTAAAGTAGGTAAAAAATTACTTCGCGTACATCCGCTCGATAAAGATCGAGCGGATGTACGCGAAGTAATTTTTACCAACTTTCCTATCACTTAATCAAGTGACTGTGTCACCACGAGAAACGACATCTTTAAGTCGAGAAGCGTTTGAGTATTTGGCCAATAGACACTTAAAACTATTTTAACTAACTTTTAACTTAAAGTATGTAGTTGTTTTTTCGTTATAAAACACCTAAGTAAAAGTTCTAAGTATGAAGATGGTTTATAATAAGGCTGATGTTTTCATAGTTGTTTTTATTAGTCACAAAAAATTTAAAATAATTAAAATATAGTACAATTGTTTCCATATAGTGGCAGCGTAATTGAAACCATTACCCGTATCGTCGCATGATGTTTTTGGAAAACGTCCAACGAGTTTATATGGGCTTCGACAGATGGCGGTAGAGATCGCCTAATTTAAAACTGCATGCGCCTCCCCTGTGTTACTGCAAGGTTTGGTCGCATTTACCGTATTTAGTATCATGAAATGTAAATCTGCGTGTCCTTATTGTGTTTTAGGAGATTTTAGAATTTTTGCTGTATTTGACATTGACATAAGTATTAAAATCTACTAAAAATACAAGGGAGGCTCGTGCAGTTTAAAATTTAGCGATCATCTCTAGGATAATGTTATTTCGGTGCAGGACCTTGATTTGGTTAATAGTTAAAGCCAATGTTGCCAGGCTCGAGTACATACGTAGTTAACCTCTGATTCTACAAGGTATATTTCGGAGAGTACGCAGGAATTGCAAGACTTAATTTCTCTCTTCTTTCTACCAATAGAGAAACATTTTTATTACGACAACAAAGGGGTAACACCGTCGAGCGTCTGTTTGTAAACAAAGTTGTCGAACCAAACGGTTTGATTCGTAGATCGTATCGTATACAACATAGAAGTGGAAACCATTCCAGGCGATTACAATTAGAGTGTATTCAAGGCAAAAGTGAATAGGCTTTTGTTACGCTAAGGTAGTCCGTTTTACCAGCTGTAGCTTAATCATAACTTACCAACAGGTGGGACGGTCGTCAAGCACTACTGGCGTTAAAAATTGGTTCCAACTATAGAAGGTTTGCCATAATCACCACAAATAGCAGGAAGATTGGCGGTCGCAATAATAGTTTCGTATTTGACGCTAAAAACCTATAAAATTATTTGACGATACTTGCTAGAACAGATGTATAAAAACATAGAAATATTTAAACTATTTAGAATGTCTTTTAAAATATCAAATATTTTGTCTAATTGAGACTCATTTCACTAAAATATTATCGTATTTTTAACACATAGAATTACCCTACAAACATGGTAAATATCGCATCTCTGGCAACACTTTTAACATCCTATTTACATAGGCACTGAATTTACAACTGCTGGTGTATCAGTTTGTGTGTAAGAAGTACACAAGGCAGCTGTATGCTACGTGAGTCCAGGATCTGTAGGCGGCGCCATACAGTTTCCATCGGGATAACGTTTCTTGAATGCCGCAATAAGATCAGGGTCCACCAAACGTACACCGTCTACTTGATTGCCGAGAGTTATCCTGGAGAGGAGAAAAGCATTGTTTAGAAGAAAGTTTATGAACGTGGCACAAATACAAATAGTAGTAAAATGATGGTGCTGTCTCATAGTGAGTGACGAGCATTGAACCGTTTTAATGATAACGATGCATTGCATCTTAGTTATTAAAGGTGAGAACGCATCTGCATTTTGATTGCTATATATGTGCCCTTCTTTGTCATCCTAGATAAGGCTATAGTATATAAAAGCAGGGTAGGGTATGGTAAGTAAAAACGGAATATAATATAAATCATACATGAAGCAACATCTGTTTCTACCGACTTCAAAGTGGCGCCGCCCTGGTGGCAGAAAAAGTCGTGGATCATCTCATTCGACTGTATGTTCTTTTTTTCATGTGTGTTACCTCATAACTTTTTTTTGGGTGAACCGATTTCGATGTATCTTTTTTTATTTGAAAGCTGGTGCTTCTCATGTGTTACCGTCGGAGCTATTCTGATCAACATGCTCGCCGTTTATACACAACACTTTATCACTAGCACCGTTTTTGGAGTTAATCTGGAACAGCTGCTCGCTCCGAAGCGGCCCGGCAGCGGTGCCGGCAACGCCGCGAAGACGCCGCAGCTCCAGCGCGCACTCCGCACGCTCTCCGCTAACTCCACTGCTTTAGCCAGAGTCAAATCTTTTGTATCCTGAAAGAACAATTTGTCACGCTCCGCTCCCGGTAGCATTCCCATTACAAAATGGTCCCTTAATACTTCCTCTACGTTTAGGAATCCACAGTGTGTTGTCATCCCACGCAGTCTAGCAGCCCATTGTGTGTAGCTCTCGGCCTCTTCTTGCGCTGTAGAATAAAACTAATACCTCTTGCCGAATCCGCATCTTTTGGGCGTAAAGTGATTGGCTAAAAGCTTCAGTATATCTTCGAATGTTACTAACTTGACGTCTTTCGGCAATGCTAAATCTGTTGCTAGCTTATAAGTAGCTTCGCTGAGTGCACTCAACAAGATTGCTCGTTGTGCTCGTCGCTTAACACCAGAGCGATCTGTAGTCTTGCTGATATCGTTCGTAATAAACCATTGCATAAGCCGACCTTTATACACTTGCCAGGTCTGTGAATTATGGTCAAAGCTAGTTAATAACCCAAAATGAGCCATTTTTAGGCAACTTTTATTTTTTCCTTAACACGCGGGTAGATCGTCGCCACTGTTAAATATGCGAACGGGGACAAGTGAAACGATGTATAGCTGAATACGCACTGCCCTTTTATTCGAATCCAACTATTTTAATAAGATGGACGCAGCCATCACTATACCTACATATATAGCTATATATATATAACAGTCACATATAAATTTGATCAAGGTCTGACCAATAGTTTTTGAGTTATTCTTAATAATTTATATTGAAGTCGGTTGTACAAAATTTTAAATTATTAAAGAACTGTGACAAACGAGTACACAGTCCACCTGTTCTATAGGCACCAACATCTATCATTAATTAAGAGTCAAAATGAAGATGCGCTGCAAGCCTTGAGGACCAAGATGGAATGGTAATGAAACACTATTTATTCCGGTTCCTCATGTTCATGGGCACGGTAGCAATTACTTAGCGTCAGGTGAACAGCATGCTCGGTAGCCTCCCTCTTCTATATAAAAAAAATTGAACGCAACCCGCGTCCAATTTTATTGAGAACTAGAAATTCCAGACAAACGTCAAACTCTTAAACTAGCATGTTTCTAATACTTATTGAATAGGTGACATTATTAAAAATGAGTAAACGCGTTTCGGTCTGCCAGCACAACTTGGGTCCTCGATTTCGGGATCTCCTTACTATTCTGGCTCTCTAAAATTTCAAACTGGAACAAAGCAGTGGTGCACCCACTGCACATCATTTAGTGGATCCAGGGAGTTTGCGCTATTACAGTATGTTAAGAAAAACCTGTCCGATCTGACAGGGACATAGGTACCGTAATGACATTACCAATAAAATCATACATCCTATTACTAATGAATATAAAAATGTTATTGTTATTTAAAAATATGTTTTACTACAGTTTGCTTAGAATTGTGCAATTTTTTAAACCTGGTAACACGGTGTTCGGCAACGGTATGTTTGAACGAGTGACACAGTATAGTTATTAGATGGCCAGCCGTAAGTTTCCTCATTTCATTAAATTTCATTTTATTTTTTGTGGTGCCATTTTTTCATTTTTTCTTGGGAAGAATTACACGATATATAGAAACACCCTTATGGATCAAACAGGATTATTTAAACATATTGTTTATTTCCGAGTATACTAGTAAACACTGAAAATATTCAACAATATTCGCAAGACTTTGTTGTAGCAGCGGTGGTTGAATTATGATTATGAAACAGGAAAACATAATTAATAAACACAAATTACTAACCAGTTAGGCTGCACATTGTGTGGTCGGCCAAATAGTTCTATTTTCCTAGTGCCGGGGCTAAGCCTTTCTGTAAAAAGTATTGATAGATTATTATAAGATGTACACTCGACGGCTCAAAAATGTATGTCAAAAGAGAGCACAAATCTAAATTGTGCACTCATTTCATATAACGGGTTTTTGCATACTGTATTTTAAGACTTCGAAGTAATTGAAGCAATAATAAGCAACAAAACAAAATATAAATACACAAAACCTTTGTTAAATATTAAAATGTATTATGAATTTACAATTTATTTAAATACGAGTATCTTTGAGTTCAAAGTTCAAAAGTTCAAAGATCATATTAAATAGGATAACAAAGAGTCTAGATGAAAACCAACCGCGGGAACAAGCAGGTTTCCGCAAAAGCTACTCGACTGTAGATCACATACAAGTTATAAGATAACTAATTGAAAAAGCAAAGCAATATGGGACGACGTTATATATGTGTTTTATAGACTACACAAAAGCATTCGATTCTTTACACTTCAAAGTTATATGGACATCACTTAAGCAACAAGGCGTCAATCAGAAATATATTAACTTAATCAAGAGTATATATACAAAATGTCTAGCAAAAGTGCGCCTAGAACGTGAAGGTACAGATTTCCCCTTACAAAAAGGAGTAAGGCAGGGAGACTTTTAACAGTGGTAGAGCCACGCGGCAGCTTTTGCTGTCGCACGGATGGGCCGGCTCGAACCGGGGTAATACCACGACCTCACAGAAAACCAGCGTGAAGTAGAGGTTTACCTCTGCGTTTCGCTTGGTGAGTGCAGGTGGCCGGAGGCCCTTTTTACTGGAAATGAGGCATTCCATCTTAGTTCTCAGGGTGACAACGCATCTACATTTTGATTTGTAACAGAGGATAGATGTAGATGTCTATGGGCCGCAGCAACCACTTACCATCAGGTGGACTGTGTGCTCGTTTGTCACCCTTATATATTATTAAAAAAAAAGACCCTCTCTCCCCGAAGTTGTTTTCAGCGGTGCTCGAATCTATTTTCAGACGTCTAAATTGGGAAAAGAAAGGAATACGTATAGGTGAAGAACTACGGAACCATTTGCGCTTCGCGGACGATATAGTGGTCTTCGTAGAAAGCGCTACCGAATTGGAGAGTATGGTGCTCGAACTAGCAATGGAAAGTAAAAAGATGGGACTGTCAATGAACACGATGAAAACCAAGATTTTAACCAACGGAGTACCTCGGGACATTATAATAGCAAATGAAAAAATTGAATATGTAAAAGAATATATATACATAGGACAGCTAGTGTCATTTGTAAACAACACAGAAAAAGAAATAGAAAGAAGTATAAGTCTAGCCTGGAAGAAATATTGGGGATTGAGAGAAATAATGAAAAAAAAAGGATATCAATATAAATATAAAGAAAACACTCTATAAAATAGCGATATTGCCATGCCTGACATATGGTTGCCAGACGTGGTCATTGAGAAAAGAAGACGAAGAAAGAATTGCTATCTGTCAACGCAAAATGGAAAGAAGCATGCTTGGTCTAAAACTATCAGATAAGGTTAACAACGTCAACATCAGGAAAAAAACAAAAATAATGATGTAAGAATAAGAACAAGATTACTCAAGTGGTACTGGGCAGGACACATCTGTAGAATGAATAATAACAGATGGACCAAACATCTAACAGAATGGATACCACGAGACAGGAAGAGAAAAAAAGGGAGACCAAGTAAAAGGTGGAGAGACATCTTTAATCAGAGATGTGGACCTCTATGGATGCGAGTGGCTCGGGAAAGAGATAATATATGGAAAGGTTTAGGAGGCCTATGCCGCAGAGGCGAATACTACTAATATTAATTAAGTCATATATATACATACATTATTATACATATAACAAAAATACATATTAATTATACTATACTATTATAACCTAGATTAATTATATGTCAAGTTTGCATTGTAGTAGAAATAAAGGCTATTTTATTTATTTATTTTATCTTTGAGTAAACAGCAAAAATAACATGCATGTTACCACCACGGCCTAAGAAGTGCATACAGTCAATCTTCGCGTATGACATTCTTTTTAAAAAAAAAACATTACCCCCACACTAGGATTTTCTCCTGTATCGTGGAGGCAGTTTACAAACATAAACTGCACGAGGACAAACATCCAGACCCAGAACAATTATTTGTATGCCATACAAATACTTGTTCCGTGCGGGGTTGTTTTTTACTCTTTAATTGTCGGAAAAGTCGACATAAACAATAAATTGCTAGGGTTGTTAGAACGGTAAGTAATACAAAAAAAAAAAAACTGATTTTATTTTATCTCACGTCTAAACAAATTAATGTGTATGTGGAAACTGATGAAAATAATTCCTTGTCTTTAAATGAGGACGACCCACAGGTTTTTACCACACATGTAGTGTGAACCATTTTAATTTATTTGCATTACAGGACAACCCTAGCGGACAGTTCACGTACTTCACCCGCGTCTCGGCCCGCATTGCCCCGTCTAGACTGTTATTAGTAGTTAGACTGTGCCTAGACACCTCATTTGGTACCTTACAATACATATTCAATATATGAATTATTTTGTGAAACGATTTAAATGAGAATAATTAAATTACAAATATTGCCTTGACATACATTTTTATATTTTGTTTATTTATTTAAGAAGTAACATAACTCGTAAACAAATAAAATCTAACATATTTTATCGCAACTTTAGTTTTTCGGTGACAATGTAATTTGCTTAAACTACCTACTTATATTAAAAACCCTACAATCTGTATTGATTTAATAGAAAAAAAAACGTTATCACAGTAATGCAGTGTTCTCCGTTACGAAGTAATTAAACAATATTACATTAACAGACTTTGCGATAAACAATTACTAAATTTGAAGATTCTATTGTGTTCTTTCTACAGCAAAATTATATTCCAATAATAATTAGGGGCATTTGTCTAACTTACCGATAATGCCGTAGATTTCGTCTGGCTTGTGTGAGGTGGCCCTTACTTCGGCAACGATCACATCACAGTCCAGGCCACGGTTCAAGTTCTCCGGGTTGCCTTTCATGCCAACCTATACAAAGGACGAATATATTAGGCTCGACGGGCGAATACCCAGATTCTATCCACCTTAGCGTAGCGATTATGACTAATGTTGTCAGCAGTGCACTAAGAGGCGCTTATGAGCGGTAGAATTTGGCAGAGAAATCAATTAATCTACATATACCCACCAGACAGTGTTCTTTGCCGTGATTGAGCCAGTGTCCAGTGCGGCCGGTGCGTATAATCCTTTGTAACTGGTTGGTCTTCACCCAAATCAGTTCGTCCACCCGTTCGTAGCCCCACAGCTTCAGACACTCTCTACCGAGCTCCATCGCCCTTGTGGAAGAGATTACTTTCATTTAAAAATGTTTAGTTTGCCTGAAAAGTTTAAGCGACAGTTGCCTGATGATAGTTGCGAACCGCGAACTTCATCATTCGAATATTGATTGAACCACTTTTAACAAGCATTTTAAGCTCACCTGGAGAGGTTAAAGGGAATATTAGTAATGCTTAATACCTTTGGAATTAAAAAAGGTGATAAATAATTCCATCATCGTCATCACTATTACTATTATCCTCTTATAATCCGCTCAAAAGTCTACTACTGAATCAGGTCCCCACCACTGCAGGTCTTCCCTAAGAAATGCCACGAAGTATAGTCTTGAAGTCCTGAGCTTCCTGCATCCATCGATATCCTGCATATCTTACAGATCATAAGCCGATTTATTTTTTAAGTTATCAGTAGCGGCTTAAGTATATCCACCACCCCATAACGTCAGGTGGGTGTCGTAAGAGGCGACAGAGGGAAACTGAAACAGGAGGGAGGAGAGCCTGTAAGGAATGAATGAACAAATGAACTGTAGATCCGAAGGCCAGCGATTCGCGACTAGGATATAGATAATGCTAAAAAACAGCCTACCTTCCAGTGACCCACAGGAAAATAAGACCGCTGTCTTGAAGCTGAGGCACCCCCAGACATCGCATCTCATCGTCCGACATCGTCCCGTACGGCAGTTCCATGTGGATGTCCCACGGCGGATCCGCCATTATGACCGCGAATTTGCCTAAAAATAATGACTAATAATATTAAGCTCACCAGATGTCGCTAGTTGGGAACGTAACGGTCACACGGTGTCATCATCATTGAAAAGTTACGTTTAAATAAAAGTTTTTCAGTTTCTAGTAGTTCGTAGTTTGATTTATCGATATAAAATATTAACCCCCCCCCCCACCCCCATTATCTAAACCTGTCAAAAATATACCTCGTTATAAAGTGGCGCCGCCCTGGTGGCAGAAGTCGTGGATGTCCTCATTGACTACAATTGGAAATCGAGTATGCAACTAATGTACTTATATTTCGACAAATCGATATAGTAAAATGACATTTCGAGTATTGCTAGTTTTTACGAAAGTGGTGCCTGGGACTCCTTAGGGTTGATTTTTTCTTCGTGGTTGCCTGAATATTTTCATATGAGTTTCATGCATACCAAACTACTTCTTTGCAATGCAGTGGCGTGGTCAGAGAATACACTATCCCATATATCATCTCATGGGCGTCACAAGAGGACACAACGTCAGAGGGTAACTAAAATAGGAGATGAGCGGCAGCATTTGCTTGATAACAGCTCAAAATAATTTAAAAAAAACTGCGATTACCAACCCGTCTGCCAAGTGTGGCAACGATCCCCTTTACGAGGCTGTATTTAATAAAGGAACGAATGTAGTGCCTGCTCCTGGTCATGAAAAGTGTATCAATCATTTTTATTGCATATAAATTTATATTTGAATGAAAGATGAATGCTCAGCACCAAAGTTCGGGTTTGCTTGAGTCCCAATGAAAATGTAATTTTAAGTGTTGAGTAACACACGCACGCTGGTGAAAGAAATATGTATATAACAGTGGTTAACAGTGGTAGAGCCACGCGGTAGCTTTTGCTGTCGTACGGATGGGCCGGCTCGAACCGGGTTGGTACCACGACCTCACAGAAAACCAGCATGAAGTAGAGGTTTACCTCTGCGTTTCGCTTGGTGAGTGCAGGTGGCCGGAGGCCATTTTTACTGGAAATGAGGCATTCCATCTTAGTTCTCACGGGTGACAACGCATCTACATTTTGATTTGTAATAGAGGAATAGATGTAGATGTCTATGGGCCACAGCAACCACATACCATCAGGTGGACTGTGTGCTCGTTGGTCACCCTTATCCTATAAAAAAAATACATATATATATATATATATATATATATATATATATATATATATATATATATATTACTGTATGTGAATAATTGAATAAAACTACTTTTACGGATTTTATCGCGTTTAATAATCTTAATCACGTGAGACTGAGGTGATAATGGTAACCATGGGTGCTGTAAAGCAACCGAAACAATCTATGAACTAAAAGTAGTTTTATTCAATGTGTAGTGTTCGCGTAAATATAAGAAATCATTATGTATGTATGTGAATAAATTATATTTACACCATAGAATTATTACCCAGTAGAAACGCAGTCTAGTACAAAACACGAGCGTTAAATTGATGCAAGGTCATTGTGTTAGTGGGCGCGAGCCGAATGTGCCTACGTTCGTCACACGCACACATATACGCCATACAGTGATACCAGTTTCTGGCGTTTGCAATCAAATTGTGAAAATCACTATTTTATAGATTAATTTTAAATAATCGATATAATAAAGACTACGTATTAAATACGAAGATGTATTTTATGAGAATATAAAATGGAATAAAATAAACACGATAATGATGGTACTAATTTAACTTTATTATACATATTTTAATGGTACAAAAATGCAGATGTAATAAAATTTAAGAATATTATTAAACACAATTAATTTGCTCGAATACAATAAGCACATCGTGTAATGTTTAATTTTAACCGACTTCAAAAAAGGAAGAGGTTATCAATTTGGTGTTTTTTTATAGGATAAGGGTGACAAACGAGCACACAGTCAGCCTGATGGTAAGTGGTTGCTGCGGCCGATAGACATCTACATCTATCCTCTATTACAAATCAAAATGTAGATGCGTTGTCACCCGTGAGGACTAAGATGGAATGCCTCATTTCCAGTAAAAAGGGCCTCCGGCCACCTGCAGTCACCAAGCGAAACGCAGAGGTAAACCGCTACTTCACGCTGGTTTTCTGTGAGGTCGTGGTACCACCCCGGTTCGAGCCGGCCCATCCGTGCGACAGCAAGAGCTGCCGCGTGGCTCTACCACTGTAAGATGTATTTTTTAAATGTTTTTTACCTCAGAATTCTACAATTTCCAAACCGATTTAGATTTATTTATTTGAAAGGATATACACAGATTGATCTAATATACACGCTGAAATTTTAATGGTTGTTTTCCCAAGTCAAATGATTTTGTCTTGGTAGTACTATAGATTTATTAAAATAAAAATTATTTGGATGCTAAACTGGCAGATTTACAATCGAGAAAAACAAAACTAGAATGTGATCTCAAACCAATAGCAATATCTCGCAAGTAGATCGGGCGTTCAGGCTAGCTTATACCGTATTACTATAATAAAGTCTGAATAAAAAAATATTAGCTGGACGTAACGTAGTATTACGTCTATCGCGCGCGCTACCGCGCGCTGTTTACACAGTGAAGGGCCACTAATAAATGTTCAGGGCATGAACTCTCAAGCGTAGTGATACGACATAAACTAATCTGGACGCGCTACAAGCTTGTGAGGTATTACTATTGTAAATCTGCCCTTTATTAATTGTAATATTTTTTATTTTAATAAATTGACTCTACTATCGAGACAGTATAATTTGGCTGCGGGATAACAACCACTAAAATTTCAGCATGTATATACGAATTGATCTAGAATCGTCTTAGAAATCAGTGTACATACATACTGATACCCTCTCCTTTTTGGGAGTCGGTTAAAATAGACTATGATTGGGTCTAAAATAACATCTGGTTAATGTTTGGGTGTAAAGTGACATCTGGTTAGTAAAGGCGTTCTTATTAATAATAGCTTGAATTTGTAAATAAAAAAGTTTTTATTCTATACTCTAAAACGTCGACTTAGTCAATAAACAAAGCAATTAAAATAAAATAGTTGTCTTAAAATGGCGTCGACGAATCGCGATTAGCTGATCACTCCGTTTTAGTTTTAAGTAGGCACCCATTGTTAATATAATGTTAATACTTAGAGAAGTAAGTATCTATATATAAACATTTGAGTTTTACACAGAGTGTTGCGATTAAACGTTTTAAACACAAATACAAAATAAATATTTTTAAAAGAAAATTGTGATTTTTTAACCCCGCAACTAGCAACATTTGTATCATGATAGCATAGGTATTTTTTTAGTTTTATGTACTTATAATGAATTAAATATTTGTGTGTGAAAATATTTTACAACACAAACGGTCATTTTTACAATTTTTTGCGAGCTCTTCTCCGTAAGACGTTGCGCACTAACGCGTCGCTGACTGAACTTACGCGGTTTCGAGTTAGTTTTACTTGCTTCACTTTCGGTGCGCGTACTAGTATTCTATACGTAATAATTCTATGATTTACACTGTATTCACTATATCCACCTATATATATTCATGAATATATCAGAAATTCTAAACTTGCCTCTGGCATATATCGTGCGCGGTGTAGAGGAGGAAGCTCGTGGTGTATTGGAGGGGACCGGCTATGCCATTAACTATAAATGACGATGGTATGTATGTATGTCCCAATCCTGGTCACAATATATGTACGTGTGCGCGCGTGCGTGTAGTTAGTTCACTTACCTAAAAATGTCATATCCAAATACCGCAAGTCACACTGAATCCATTGCGGAGGCGTAAGAGTTAACACTCCATCCGGTTTAGGTACTAGAGTCGAACCTGTAATTTCGTTTTGTGAATAAATGCTTTATACTCTGCGGTATGGAGGCAGCAAATATAATATAAGATGGCAGCATTACCATCTTATTTATATTTGATGAAAAATATCCACATCGTCATTCCTTGCTAATCAGCCAGCTTTGTGACATCAAAGAAGATAGAAGAATAAGGCAGAACAATGCTGCCTCAGCTATTTCTTTATAAAATTACAGCCATTTTAAGATGAGTTTCGTTTAAAAAAGATACTTTTTATTCATCATCATTATCATTAAAGCCTTTCATAAATCTACCTTCCTCAAGCATACCCACAAAGCACGGTCCTGAGCCACCTTCATCCAACGACTTCCTGCATGTCTTACCAGGTCCTCACTCCGTCTAGTGGGGGGACGCCCTACACTGCGTCTACCGGTACGAGGCTCATTACATCCCTTCACAAGTCCTCTGCTGAACATAGGCCTCCCCAAGGAATGCCACAAAGCACGGTCCTGAGCCACCTGCATCCATCGACTTCCTGCATATCTTACCAGGTCGTCACTCCATCTAGTGGGGGGACGCCCTACGCTTCGTCCGCCGGTACGAGGCCGCCACTCGAGAACCGTTTTTCCCCAACGGTTGTCGGTTCTTCGAGCTATATGGCCGGCCCATTGCCGCTTCAGCTTACTAATCCGTTGGGCTATGTCGGTCACTCTAGTTCTACTGCGGATATCCTCATTTCTAAGTTTATCACGCAGAGAAACTCCGAGCATAGCCCTCTCCATAGCTCGCTGAGCGACCTTGAGCTTCCTCATTCGACCAGCAGTGAAGGACCACGTCTCAGTACCATAGGTCATCACTGGCAACACGCACTGGTTGTACAATCTTGTTTTCAAGTTTTGAGGTATACCTGACGAGAAGAAGTGCCGTAATTTCCCGAACGCTGCCCATCCAAGTTGAATCCGTCGATTGACCTCTCGGTCGAAGTTGGACTTACCTAGTCGGACTATTTGTCCCAGGTAAACATACTCGTCAACAACTTCGAGCTTAGTGCTCCCAACAACTACCGGCATAGGTGTGACATGGACATTAAACATGATCTTTGTTTTGTCCATGTTCATCTTAAGACCTATCCGTTGGGAAACACTATTGAGGTCATTGAGCATAGTGCTTAGATCCTCCAGCGATTCTGCCATAAGGACTATATCGTCGACAAATCGAAGGTGAGTGATGTACTCGTCATTGATGTCAATACCGTATTCTTTGTAGTCCAGTAGCTCGAAAACGTCTTCCAATGCAGCGGTGAAGATAGAGGACGGAGATATAACGTCACCGTCGTACACCTCTTTGCAGTTGGATAGGTTTCGTATTCTGGTTCTGTACTCGGATAGCCATCGTAGCCCTACTGTATAAACACTTAAGCACCTCGATATACCGACAGTCAACTTGGCACCGCTGAAGGGACTGCAGCACCGCCCAAATTTCGACGGAATCAAAGGCTTTGTGATAGTACAAATATGCAAGACAAAAAGGCAGATTGTACTCTTTAGTCTTCTGTACAATTTTTCGAAGGGTATGTATGTGGGAAGTCTGCGTGCGTGACGATTAGTAATAATTCTCTATTAGTAAGTTCTCTCATCATCACTGCAGAGTATAATATACTTTTTTTATAGGATAAGGGTAACAAACGAGTACACAGTCCACCTGATGGTAAGTGGTTGCTGTGGCCCATAGACATCTACATTTATCCTCGATTACGACTCAAAATGCAGATGCGTTGTCACCCGTATGAACTAAGATAGAACGCCTCGTTGCCAGTAAATAGGGTCTCCGGTTTTCTACTCTCACTCTACGAAACACAGCAGCGTTAAGCTGCTATTTTACGCTGGTATTCTATGAGAGCATAATATACCTTCTGTAGTTAGAAAGGAAAACGTCATTATCGGGACTAGGTTTTAAGTTATACAAAATATTTTTACCATTGTGTCCACCCTTAGCAGCTGGCTCGGTGATCATTTTATTTGTAATATTAGGGTCTGCGTTATCTACTTCATAATGAACATATCTAGAACAATAAAATAATATACATTAAAAAAATCTTAAAAATTATTCCATCACAAATGCAAGGCTGAACATAGGCCTCCCCAAAGATTGCCTCAAAGGAGGGGGGGGGGGGGGGGGGGGGATTTGGCATAGTATTATAATATTTGACCACACTTGGCAGGTTGGAATGTATACACCCAGTCACCCTACTCCCTTATACGACTCATCTGTGTCTATTTATGTAATTTATATCATCAGTTAAATTTAAGATAATCACCTACAACCATTTATTTTTCGATTTCACAAAAAATATTGCCAAGTTATTCGGATGAAATATAGCCCATATCACTATTGGTATTGCTCTCTATCTGTTCAAGAAGGTTCATCACATTCGGTTTAGCCATTCTGAAAATTAGTCCTGACAGACAGACCAACAAAATAGAAAAAAAAAACAATTATTTATGTGTTAACGGCGTGCAAATAAACCCCTGAGCTCAATAAAAAGCAGTTATTTAGCTATTACAGACAGACATTTCAATTTCATTTATATGTATAGATTACATTAATTACACTCTCTTACACATGTTTTATGTGTAAGATAGTTATAGCGTAATCTTTCAGAAGCCATAAGATCTTTCTAGCATATCCCATAGTGGTCTCTTACAACAAATAATTACATCTTTATAAATACGGGTGTTAGACACCCACGGGAAGAAATGGTTCGATGGATTCTATTACCTCATCGCCAGACGACCAAAATATGAATAAATTTTTGTTCTTTCATGGGAAACAGGTGAAATGTGTATGATGTTTAATACTGCAATCGCTAATCTGGCTTCCAAGTGTAGTGATTACAAAAAATATTTAGTATGTGATCTCACAGACTGAATTTCCGTCACGGCAACCAATCTCGATGGAGACTAGCCATTTGCGTAGGACAGGATTATAGTGCCAAGTGTATGTGTAAGTATAGACGCACTCCCTTACTTTCATAGTCTGATGGGACAGTAAAGTGACACATATGGAGAGAGAACCGGCGCAGGAACAGCGGCTTTGCGTGCTTACCGAGGAATGGGGGTAAAACACCGACAGCTTCCTGACTCCGGGCTATCAGTGAGTTTCTTGCCAGAGAAATCCTATAACTGATTTTGTCCCCACCCGGGATTCGAAACTGGGATCTCATGATTAAAAATCGCATTTACGAGCAATGATGATGTGGAGTGGATTGATTGTAGGCTAATAATGAAATCTACAACTTACTTGCAACTATCCATATGGAAACATGTGTTTAAGAAGGAGCAGTCGCCAAGTGATTCATCCGTATGACTCTGAATAATCTTCTTAAAGTGGAGCTTCTTGCAGCCGTAGTTCTGATTGTCTGTCTCTTTGTCATCATCGTCGTGAGACTTGAATGCGCGCACGCATTCCGCTCGGGTTCCGTGTGGACAGAATTCCATCACTTGAGCTCCTGGAAAGATTATTGTATTAAATTAAACTAATGTTACGGATTTTATCGCGTTCAATTTAACTTTTTAATTCCCGACGTTTCGGGTGCTTTACAGCACCCGTGGTCACGGGGTGGGGGGACAGTCCCCCGTAACCATTGTGTAGTTTCATTTAATGTGTAGTCTTCACGTAAATATAAGAAATCATTGAGATTATTGTATATTTAGTTTTGTATCTGACTCGGCCTACTTAACTAAACTGTTAAATTTACCGTTAAAGCCTATTAAAAGTCCACTGCTAAACATAGGCCTCCTATATATTGGCTCATAGGGGGGATATTTGCCACACTTGGAAAGTGAGTTGACAACTGCAGTGTTTTATGTTATTGTTGTTATTAGCAAGACGCTGTTACCCATTTCCTGTGTTGTTGCCTCCGTCGCCTCTTACGACACCCATGTGACGATATGGGTTAGTGGATATTCTTACACCGACACTACACGGTACCTAACTAAACCTACGTATTTAAGACTAAGTTTATATGAACGCGCGTCACCGCGCTGTTGGAGCATTCACATGACGGCATATGTACGCGCGGCAGTCTGGCATCTTCGCTACTCATTTTCCCTGCATCTATGCGTCAGTCCGTCTCAACTCGCGCGGATCAACTGAACTGGTTGATATAGGTTCGTGAAACTTGAACCGCGCGGCACCTCGCGGTCATGTAAACTTGCCTAAATGGATTGACACACTTCGAAATGAGACGTGTGATTAGATTTCTCAATACGTCAATTTTGCATGTGATAGAGCCATGCTGCAGCTATACTATAGTTGTAGCACGAATAGGTCGGTTCGAGCGGAAGAGGGCCACATTCTCACAGAATACCAACGTGAAACACCCTAACAATGCTGTGTCTGTGAGTGTAACCGAAACCCTTTTTCACAGGTAACAAAGCATTAAATTTTAGACCTCAAAGGGTGACAACGCATCTGAATTTCGATTCCTAATCGACGATAGATGTATATGGGCCACAGCATTCACTTACTGTTAGGTGGACTGTGTGCTCGCTTGTCACTTTTAGTCTATATAAAAAAAAATATAAGACTCGTTCTGTGGCATGTGAGTGTGGTTAAGAGGCGAGAAATATAGCGTAAGATGTCGGTAGGTCTGAACCGTTTACGGAGGAATAGCATTAAGGGTGGAGTCGTTTGGAAATCCACCCCTGGCAATGGACATGTCCTTAAGCAACAATGAGGGACTCATATATTTAGCAGTGGGTAGGTTAACAGGCTGATGATTTAATAATAATAATAATTTATTAATGTGTATTGTTGTTAGTGGCTACGTAATTATTGCCTACCTCCTTGACTTTTGAACTTATCAGCCAATGATTTTTCCTTAGCAGTGGGTTTACTCAGCAAGTCCATTATTTCTTCGCCTACCCTCTTCACTGCCTTTTCTCGGCTTGATGGCATTGCTAATAACGACTGAAAATTGTTGCAAACTGGTAGTATCATTTTGGCGTTTTATCATATTTTTTTTTTTAATTTATGTACATATAACAAGGCACAGAAACAATGGTACAGTGAGTTCGTAAAAAGATTTCTAGACACATTAATCAAATAGAAATGAATAAATGATATTGTAGTATCTGTTTGTATTGTTTTACTAAGAAAACCTTGAATTTTTTATATCTTTTATCTACTAACTGTATTTTTAAAACTGTATTTGAGGCCAGCAAATTGTATGCATGTCAAATTAACTAAACCGTGAGAAATAAAACCGCGCCTTCCTCCTTTCCTTATTTTGCTTCCTGTTATTATATTCTATTTTTCAATTTTATAATTTACAAATAAACTGTACCCAGAGGAACTCTTAGAAAGAAAAGGGCTAATTCTGTGCTTATTAATAGCGGGAATATATTATGTCATCTACAAAAACAAATAAGCCATGGACAGTTATGAGTTACGTCTATGGACAGGTTACATGTATACCACTAACTAAGGCCATTAAAAAGTAATTCTTACCATAATGTCTGTATCACCCTTCCCTCCTTTTTTGTCGTCAGTAGCACTTTTAGGGACTTTTGGATTTGTGCTCTCATCTGTTGCGCTGTCACCTGCATGTACATACAATAAAATATTAATACATTACCAAATGAAAAGAACACTATTGTATAATATGTAATAATATATTTATATAAGTTTTTTCTTAGTTGAATTATAATAATTTCTATAATATTTAATGACCATGAGGTGTCTGGAAGCCAGCCTTTTTAAAAGGCTGAATCAAGAGGCGCGAAAGCGTCTTGTCTGAACCCAATGCAGAGAATATTAGACACGTATATTTACAAGTAATAATGGAGTAACAGAATCCAATTCACTTCAACCTAGAAGGTTTGTAAAAATTACTAGAAGGAACATTTAAGCTAGGAGATGGGTAGAAGAAACTATGTGAAACTTTGCAATAAAAATTTACCTAACTAGATTTCTGTGGAAATTACCCCTCCTGAGATACAAATTAAGTAAAAGCCTGTATACATTCCGCTGTTGGACACTAATTTTTGCGAGGGTATAGGAGCAAAGAAAATTCTGCAATGCTGCACCAAAGGCGGCAGTCATTACTTGTGAATTTAGGTTTCAGATTTACAACTTTATTGGTCTGAATTCGAGTTGCTAACAATATGACAAAAATTTAAGGCAGGTGCAAATATTATATAAATTAAGAACAAAAGGCTAAACAGGCGAAATAGAATCACAAACTAAACGTATGAACCTATTAAATTCTTGAATTATTAGTCTGAAAAGTACTATTTTTATCACTCACCGACTCACTCATTAAGAAACGTAAGCCACTTCTAAGTTACTTAGAAACTTTGGTACTTTGGCCATTAAGATAGATCATTTGGGCGTATACAAAGGAAAACATCAGATAACTAGAATTTATCGATATTCGGTGTCGTAAAAGTGCCGACAAATTTATTGGTGCGGCTAGTTTGAAATAGTGTTCATGAAAGTATGCACCAATAACTTTGTCGACTTTTAATTCGACAAAATTATTAGTGTGTAAAAACGTTAAAGGTCATGTGTTTATTTATACTACTAAAAGGATTAAACATAAATGTGAAAGAAGGGCAAAGTTTGCTACAAACTATAATCAGAGTTGTTGGCTTCGCTAATAAAAGTGTCAAAATCTAGATGGGTGTCAAGCTCTCACAATTGCTTACAAAATAGAATATTGATCCTATTCCAAGAATGTTGTACATTCCTGAAAGAAAATTATTAACTTATTCCAAAAATGTACAACATTTTTCATCAGTTTCTTTCGTATGTTCTTGAATTATTTTACACACCTTTTCTTTTAGTAGATGTGGACTGTTCTTCAATCAAAGCTGCCAGAACTGCACCCAACCTCACAGACTCTGCACCCACCACTTCAATTTCGGTATCAGTGGAGCCTTCTAAGCGCTCTTTTATACTAAAAAAAATTTAAAACTATAAAAGTAAAAATGGTGTTTACCTCGTTTTGTAATTATAATCATTGTAGTATTAAAAGTCCTTTGCTGAACTCTGTTGAATATAGGCCTCACCTTAAAGTCTACCAAGAAAAACTGTAACTTTTGAAATCAGAACACAATAGTAGCATTGTTGCTCAGTAAGCAGAAAAAATTAATTCATTAAAAATATATCTATGGTTGAAACAGACAGAAAGTTTTAAAATCTTTATTGTTAACACCTTAATAACTAGGGTAGCAAAGGACGGACTTAATGCCTAAGGGCATTCTCTGCCAGTCAACTCGTTCAAAATTATATTTCTAATCTGTTAAATTAAATCTCAATAATTACACTGTAATGATGATTAATGAACGAAGTTTTGAATTAGTAATTAAAATTAACAATAATTAGAAAACAATTTAAATGTATTAGTGTATCGCCAATTAATATAGTTAATGCTTTTTGCTGAATTTTTTTTATCTGTCTGTATGAAACTTCATGAACAGATCGAGAGCAATGCCAGAAATGCCAGGAGTGATTGAAGACTATATTTTATCAGTAAACATTGGAGATTTTTTAAAGAAATTATTTTCTTTAAATATATGCTCTTCATGTTATCTTAAATCTTAATAACACATTAAAAGAAATTACCCAGATGTAGCCAGGGCAAAACTAAACAATACCATCCTCACCATCTGGATGCTTGGTGGTCCACGACTGTGCGTTTTACTAGGAGTTTTCTTTCTCGCACAACTCTCTGTGGAATTGTTTACTACCGGCGATTTTTCAGAGACCGATACGACTAAGGGATACGACTAAGGGCGACTCAAGAAAAGAGCTTACACCTTTCTAAAAGGCCGGCAACGCATCTGCAATTCCCCTGATGTTGCGGTTGTTCATGGGCGGCGGTAGTCAATTACCATCAGGTGAACCGCATGCTCGTTTGCCCCCTCTTCTATAAAAAAGGTGCCCTTTGTTCAATCTTTCCTAATTACTATAATATTTTTATATTATTACTAAAACAAATGCTATTAGCATTCAATATATTATAATTTGTTTTTATTTCGGGTTAAAGACATTTATTTCTCTTAAAGAACACATTGTTCACTTTTACAGAGATTAAGTATACATACAAAATAATATTACCAGTATTTACATGGTAGCATGCATTATATAATTCTATTATGTTTTTCTTATATGTATATCCTTAATTAATTTGTTACACTTTTTCATACTTAATGTAAACATAATATGTATGTATTATATCGTGATGTTTTAAAAATATGAATATTGTATTAATGCAATACTCATATGTTCAAAATTGAAGATATGCAGTTATGAAATTTTATCTACAACATATGATTTTAGTTTATTCTTAAAATGCTTAATATTATTACAATCTTTTATAGTATCCGGTAAATTATTATACAAAAGTACACCCTCACACATTATATTTTTATTGCCATAAGATCTCGTACGAGGCTGCCAGATTTGAAGTTTGTTTTTGTTTCTAAGTGATGCTAATTTTGATGTTATTTTGTCTAGGTATATGAGAGTCCCATATCAGTTTGTCATCTAATAATAGACCTAGGTACTTTTCTTTTTTAGATCTTTTAAGAGTAATATTATTAATCTTAAGTGGTGTGTAGGTAGGTATTTTTTTATTTATAGCACAGAAAACCATAAGTGATGTTTTGGTCACATTAATTGTGAGAAGATTGTATGAAAACCACTCATTCAATATATCCAAAACCTTTTGTGCTTGTGATATAACTTCATGAATTGAATGTGCAAAGTAAAAAAGACAAGTGTCATTTGCGTAGAGTGATAAATGACCTGACAGGTTTAAATTTACTATGTTGTTTATGTATGTAAGAAATAACAAAGGGCCTAATATTGAGCCTTGTGGAATGCCACAGGTAATTTGTTGAGAACCACTTTTGTAGTTAGATATTTGTACAATCTGTTGGCAGTTAGCGAGATAAGAGGCCAACATATCTAGTGCTGTACCTGCTATTCCTATATTAATTAGCTTTTGTAATAGTTTTGAATGGCTTACCATATCAAAAGCCTTTTTCAAGTCTATGAATATTCCTAAACAGACATGTTTTCGATCAATGTTTGTCTTTATTTTTGTAACTACATCAATTGCTGCTGACAATGTGTTAGATTTTGATCTAAAACCATATTGTTGTTCAATGAAAAAGTTTTTGGCGTTAAAATACTCGTTAAGTCTTTTATATATTACTTTTTCAAAGACTTTAGAAATAACAGGGAGCACCGATATGGGTCTGTAATTACTAGGATCAGTTTTTGGTCCGGATTTATGGATTGGGCTGACTTTCGCAATTTTTAGGCTGTCAGGAAATGAACCATTTGATAGGCATTTATTTTTATAGGCATTTATATCACTCCATTACTTTTCTTACATTATTAATGTTTACCGTATACCGTATAGTGGCGGTGAAGGAATATTGACAACCCCATATCATCCCGTGGATGTCATAAAAGGGGGCAGAGGGATACAAATCAGGAGATGAGCAACATTGTCTTCCTAATAACGACTAAAAATAAAAAACCGCAGTTGCCAACCCGCCAAGCATGGCATCTATGGCCCTATGAGACAATTTAGGAGGGAGGCCTATGATCAGCAGTGGACTTTAATAGGCTGTAATGGAACAGATTACATAATTACGTTATCTGTAATTAATAAGTAAACTTACGTAATTAACTTTTGTGTCGCAAACTTCTGCAGCAAGCTAGCTACTATCCCTGTATCAACATCACCAAGCCCAGGCATCAGGGCACTGGCAGTAGCTGGTAATTGCAGTTGCATATCTGAGAGAACTTGTAAGAGTCTGACTTCCAATGACGCCACGGGTACTGGAAGTTTGGGTTTCTCTGGTGCTGCAACCACAAAGTTTAACAACAATTTGCATTAATTATTTCTTATATTTATATGAATACTACACATTTCATGAAACTAATTTGATTTGAGGAGTTAGACTTCTCAATGTCATAGTTAGCCTGGCTACCTTCAGCATTTGAATATTATTTTTTGGTGCAATCTATACAGAATGAGCTTACAGTATTTTGAAGTCTTGCAGTAGAATGCTTGGGTTTAGATTTAATTTTATTAATTATAGGATCCCAAGCAGATGGTAACACCCATCTATCTCCTCTATTGGAATTAGGTTGTTTTTTTAATTTTACAACAACAATCTATTTTTTCATAGAATATCTTGACCCTGTAAGGGTTATTTTCAAAGAGTATCCAAATTTTATACTAAGTTCAAATATAAATATCAAGTAATAATGTTATTGCAGTTTTTGAAAATACGAGTAAATAAGTCTTCTACTTTTATTTTAAATCATCCCAAATTAAATGTGATTCATGGACAACATCTAAGCGCTTGCGAGCTCTTCTGTGTGTGATTCAATTCACAACATTATTGCTGACTGAGTGACCCTTATAAATGTGTGCATGCTTTGTAAAACAGTAGGCATTAGATATTTATGAATGACATCAACAATGACTCCATTAAAATAATGCATTACCATGCATTCTGAATTTAAAAGATAAAAAGGACAGAATGTTTGAGTTCATTTTGGAATGAAGTTCCTTATTGCACAGTAAGCTTTTTGCGGATGGGGGCTTGGCGAGATAAAGTGTAAGATTTTCCGTCGTGACCCCTTTCTATAGTGCAAGCGAGATGAAATAATATCCATCTCCCTCGCACGTTTTCTTATCTTGCCATGAAAGAAATATTATTTTAAATGATATTTTAATAAATGCTAGTAATTAATTTATTTGTATTTGTTAATCAATAACTATACATAAATAAATACGTTAAAATCTCTTTATAGGGACTTTAGTATTGTGTCAGGATCAATAGCACCTACACTGATTGGGGTTGCATCCATAAAAGTATTCCACAGGCTAGTGTGGCTTCCTCATGACTATTAAATCTGTATATGGATAGTTTTTTGCAAACTTTGAAAGTGGTAACTAAGTGTTGAGTCATCAAATACCTCTTGTACAAAGACAATCAAGTAATATTTGCATTATTGACAGGCAAAAAATGGATACATTAAAAAATATAGCATTAAAAGGAAGGAAAATGAAAATTAGCACTGTAAGAAAAAAGATATGGTTTTTGAAAGAAAATAATGTAAAACAGTATCAGAAATAAGTATGGAAGGGTTGTTGGATTGTAGTTGAGCAAATGGATGAGATTCTGTGTTAAGGATGTGTGTATAAGTGTGTTAGACAAAATAAGGATATAGAGCAAAGCATGTTTTTTTATAGGATAGTGTGACAAGTGAGCACACAGTCCACCTGATGGTAAGTGGTTGCTGTGACCCATAGACATCTACATTTATCTTCAATAAAGAATCAAAATGCAGATACATCGTCACCGCATTTGTCCCGCTGGGTTTCTTGCTGGTTCTTCCCAGGACAGAGGTATTTTCTGAACCAGTGGTAGATAAAAAACTGACTTTCAATAAGAATTATGTAATAATCAACGTTCGCGCCAAACGCTAATTTCAAGAACTACCGCGAGAGGGCGCGCGGCTCGGTGCCATACCGGTTTTGACGTCGGTCGAGCGGTGGGTGTTGAGAACGCGTAAAGGCAGTAGTCGTCTGCCAGCGGTGCTAAGGCCAGCACGCTGTCAATTTTGTTCGGGAACTCGGAATAATTAGGCGCGGATAGTAAATATTCTGTCTAAGATTTGTGACGCGCATTCCTTATTGGAGAGCTTCCCAGGGACTCATTGTGTCGTACTCAGAATCTGTATAAGTGCATTTTACAATATTAGCTAAAGCGGACTTTGATAGTCTAGAAATAACTGTTGCTACGCGAAGCGGTAGTGACCTTTGATCCGGACACTCCCTGTTCATTTTGTGTGTTAGGCTTTATAACAAACGAGAGTTAGTGGCTTCTGTAAGTTAGTTAATAGTACGATAGAGTTAATGGACTGTCATCGTGACGAACGAGGAAAGTCTACTAAGGTCAATCACCATCAGTCACACCCAGATACACATCACAGCACATTATTTCCCTTGCACTACACAACCACATGCGACCTGACCGACTCCGGAGGGACCAGTCGCCTTGGATATAGGTAAGTAAGCTCCGTCTAATATTCTCCCGGTTGAATGGCCGTAGTATAGAACGCTCCCCCATATAGTTTAGTGTAACTAGAGATTTTCCACTTTGGCCTTAGGAGGCCCGACCTACGTCTGCTCGTCGAAACTCAGCTGAATGGGCCCCTGAGGATTTGACCTTTATGGGAGCAGCCGTAGGCCGTAACAATCAATATTGAATAAAAAATTATTCTATTCTATTCTACCCGTGAGGACTAAGATGGAATGCCTCTTTTCCAGTAAAATGGGTCTCCAGTTCTCTACAGTCACCATACGAAACATAGCAGTGTCAAGCTGCCATTTTACGCTGGTATTCTGTGAGAGTGTGGTCCTTCCCCGGTCAAGCCAACCCATTCGTGCTGCAACTATACTACTAATTTAGCTGCAGCATGGCTCTACCACGTTTACAGGACACAAAGTGAATGGGGCTTTTTACTGTAGTATAAGTCAGAATGTGTCAAAAAAGCTGTGTATGGCAATTAGCTATGATATGTTACATAGGCTGCACTAAAAGTATCGGGAATGGAATATTTCCACTGTTCCTGTCATATTAAAATCTTTTTAATTGAAAACTCCTTGGTTTTAAAAATCGACTACCATTTATTTATTTAAAAAAAGATTCTCGGTCTTCGCACAAGGTTTTGTCAAACTTGTTTAGTCGTTGAGAAAATGGAATTGATTCAAGAAAATTCAAGAGCGATGATTTATTATGACTTTCGAAGTGGTTTAACACAAAAACAGTGTATTGACCGGATGCTTTCTGCATTTGGTGATTAAGCCCCATCCAAAACCACAATTTATCGCTGGTTTGCTGAATTTCAATGTGGACGTGTCAAGCTCAGTGATGATCCCCGTCAAGGTCGTCAAAAAACTGCAGTCACCCAAGAAAACGTTGATGCTGTACGTAAGCTGATTGAGGAAGATCGACATGTGACATATCGCGAAATTCAGGCAACTTTAGACATTGGCATGAGTCAAATACAAATAATCTTGCATGAACAATTAGGTGTAAAAAAGTTGTTTTCCCGATGGATACCGCATTCGCTGTGAAGATGAAAAAGCGGCTCGCGTTACTTGGTGCGTCAGAACTCTCGAAAGATTCCACGCAGGATCCTCAAATGCTGTATACAACATCGTATCAGGTGACGAATCCTGGATATACGCGTACGAACCCGAAACAAAAAACCAGTCACGAGTTTGGGTGTTCGAAAATGAGTTAAAGCTAACAAAAATTGTTCGTTCATGGAGTGTTGCAAAAAAAATGGTGGCCACATTTGTCTCCAAAACCGGCCATGTTACGACTATTCCTCTTGAGGGACAAAGAATGGTTAATGCAGAATGGTATGCTAGTATTTGTTTGCCACAGGTCGTTTCTGACTCCGTAAAGAGAACTGCGAGTTCTCACACTGCACACAAAAGAGTTTTTAGAGCAAGAAAACATAGAATTATTAGACCATCCGCCGTACAGCCCTGACCTAAGCCCTAATGATTTCTATACTTTCCCTAAAATAAAGAATAAATTGCGTGGACAGAGATTTTCATCACTTGAAGAAGCTGTGGACGCCTACAAAACGGCCATTTTGGAGACCCCAACTTCCGAATGGAATGGTTGCTTCAATAATTGGTTTCATCGTATGGAAAAATGTGTCAAATTTTGCAGAGAATACTTCGTAAAGCAATAAATACATTTTTAAATAGTAATGTTGTGTCACTTCCTTGATTCCCAAAATTTTCAGTACCGCCCTCTTAGTAGTTCTTTAATATATGGTAGTGAAAGTTATGTGTGGCAGAAGAAACATGAAATAAAAAAATTGTAAAATTAATACAGTTAAAATAAGGTCAGGAAGTATCATGTTAAAGGTGACTGAAGTTAGGGTGAGAAATTGTGTGATAAGAGAAGTATGATTTGCAAGATTTTATGACCAAGATTATAAAAGCAATGTTAAGGTGGTATGGGCACACATAAAACAATGAATGAAGAAAGAGTATCAGAGCAAATTTTTGCTGTAGATGTGTGGCAGAGTCGGTAAGTAAGGATTGTGCCAAACGGAAGTTAGTAGTTTCTGTCTACCAATCTGGGTGTTCCTGCGTGACATCAACTTGACGGTAATCTTCAGCAACAAAAATAATAACAGCTGTAAAAAGGAAAAATTTGGAGAATTTTACCTTCATTTTTTTGTGATGCCGGACTAGCGACGGATTTTTCTTTGCTGCCTGGCGTAATTTCAGCTTTATCACTGACGAGAGTTGCGCTTAGAATGTTCTGCCGCTCCTTTTTACGTTTCTCAAGCTTTTCCCTTAGGCTGTTTCTTTTACTTTTTACAGCTTGAATTTCTTCCCACGCGTCAGACATTTTTCAATATGATAACAAACTTATTTGAACCGGTCCACTAAAATGCAAAAACAGAATTTCGTCCCCTAAATTACTACCTATTCCTGCTATAATTAAGTCAGATATGGGTTGCTTTTAGATAAATGATTACTGTACATACTTTATTCATTCCGCGGTGTAATTAAAATATGCAGACTAAAGTAAAAAATAAATATGTATAAATGAGTGTCAGACCTGTCAGACTGACAGATGACACCACACACACTGTTTATGCGTAGTATCCACTTTTTTTTTTTGGAGTTTATGGCCTGGTATCTAGACCTTTAGGCCAAGTCTTAAGTATTTTTATTCGGTTTATTGTAATTTCCCCACTCCTTCATAGTATACTGCTTCACAATATGTTGATGCGTCACATTGTGCAGTTCTTGGGAGATTTTGGCGGCAACTTGATCCAGCAGACAGCTGATAGTTGGCGATGGTATCTAAAGGTGCCTATGCAAACAAACAGCTTATCTTGAGAATCCATCACCATCAGAGCACTTGTTTCACTGTTTCCACTAATAGTTCACATGCGTAGACACTTAATACACAAAATCGCAACACTTTTACATATCAAAGTCCACTTCAAACCATTATTTAAACAATAATACAGGAGCAGCAAACCGCCGCCGGTCAATTTCCCGCCAAAACCACCCGTAGTATCCACTAAGTAGTCTGTGTCACAGAGTACTTTTTTATATAGGAAAGTCTGTGTGTTTATGGCAGGTGTCAAAACAGAGTGTTAGGTGTCGTGTTTTTATTCGTTTTTGCACTTTTGCAGTAAGTAATCGTCATCATTATGCCGAAAGTGATTAAAATTGCGGGCAGGGATATTATCTCGAAGGTCAAACGTGCATGTGAAGAATGACGAGACAATAACGGGCCTACAGTACCGTTTTCCAAAATTAGAGCCCACGTTTCATATTTCACAGGTAATTTTTAGGGCTGCCATAACAAATTAAACTCCCTAATTTTCTCGATTTGTTCATTTTTAGTTTCCTCGTGTCATTAATATCACGTATTTATGATGCATAGTTTTTATTATGTTTTAGTTTTAGCTTAAACCAAAAGTAATAAATTTATTATTTAATATCACAGGCGACACTTCCGAGTATTATGATGAAGCCTCTAGTATTGATTCTGATGAAGATGTGCGAATGAAAGGCGTTGACCCACTGCAGGACCGTTGTTACACCGAATTTACAAATAGATCTAGGTATTGAATAAAATATTTACAAGGTTTCCATGGACTTTTAATTTCGTTCTTTCCAATAAATATATTTAAAATACCTTTTTTGAAAAATTCATTATCAACAAAATATCAGTGTTCATTAATCATAATAACAGTCATTTCTAACACGTATATAATATCTTTACCTATAATTATGTAAAAAAAAATTTGAAGTTATATTTGACCATTTTTTAGGTTTTCGATGGAGCGGAAATTTTGCATATATGCATATTCTAAATCCAATATAGTGGACGCCCAAAGATGGAGAACTACTTATTGTGCATTCCCATGATATGGGTTCCAAATAAAAGGATTTGCTGATAAGAATACCTAAAACAAAATTGAAGCGTGTTTTTTTTAGTTTTTTCCTCAAACTCGCTAGCATAAATTAAACGTTTTTAAATATTTTTAAAGATAATTTATATTAACTTAAATCTTACCCTAGAAACTTGTGAATTGTAGTGTCAAACTTACGGAAGTTACAATCAAGAAATATATTTATTATGCGAACCTTAAACAATAAATATAGGGTTTAATATTTATTAGGTCTATGTAAGTTTAAGCTGAAAATTAGTTTTTTTAATTGGTAATCAATTCGGTTATTTATGTAATACGATATAATTATATAATTCTGGTAATAAGATTAAATGAAGGAACAAATATTAGTTAAGCTGGTAACATTAAATACGCCATCAATCGCGCGCAAAGATATCTTGCGCGCACTTATAGTATAGACTCGTACCAGCTCTGAGCATAGAAAATAGGGGAGCTGCCCAGAGCATAGACATAGTATCTTATCATAGTATCTAATCCTCTATCTACGGCCCAGAGCATCTATATTTGTTTTTATAGGAGAGGAGGCAAACGAGCATGCGGCTCACCTGATGGTAAGTGGCTACCGCCGCTCATGAACAACTGCAACAGCAGGGAGGGAATTGCAGATGCGTTGCCGGCCTTTTAAAAAGGCTTTCTTTCTATATGTTTTATTGGTTATTCAAGTATGGTTATATTCGACATTGAACTGTCAATATGCTGCCTATCTCTTTTTCACTCAGCGAAGTGTAAGTCTAAATGTCATTCATAAATGAAACAGATAATAGAAATTGTTTCGTATTCTGGTAAACATTTTTAAGATGACGTCATTTAACCCCGCCTTGCGGCCGATTCCGCCATTTATTGTTTCAGATTTGCTGTTATAAAAAGTCGTTTGATATTTCCAATTCATTAGAAAGTACGAAGACGACTAAGTGTTGTGCCTAAAAATATAGTCAAAAATCACGCGAACTATCATTTAATATGTGAGTGATTTAGTTTTTGCTGTAAATATAATGTAAAAACGTTTATATCTTTTGCGACAGTAAGTAGATGGATGTAATTATGTACCCTAAACCTTTAATTCATATTATTTAATTACTTCTTATCATTCTTTGCGTATCTATAAAATTTTGTTGTTCGTAAATAGTGATGTTACATTGCTAACAATAAATTCTTTCAAGAACATACTTTATTAAGGTTTTTCTTGATTTATTCTGTCGTATTATGTGAAAAAATGTTGCGTTATGCATTGCATTATTTCGGTGTCATGGGTCTGAACAGTGAGCATAAATGATTAACTAAATTATACGGAAACGGAGTTACATTCATGTTAGGTAGGATGTACGGTAGCTACATAATAAAAGTGCAGCAAAGCAACAAAGATTAGATGAAGTACAATCTAGCGCCTGTAAGACATCTCTCTGTAGGCAAACGTGCATATACCTCAGAGACTATGGACATTATTACTTGACTTTATTATATTATATTGTATATATTTTACACCCAAACAGCTATCTTTCAGCTTCTGTAAACAGCTGTCGAGATACAGTATGAACAGCCAGGAAGACATGACCGCTGCCGGGAACAAAGTCAATGGTGCCCTGACTGCGTTAGTCAAAAGGCAAGGCGTAGTGAAGAGTGCACGCCTTGCAATACATAACGCAGTGTTGGTACCGACTTTGTTATATGGCAGCGAAACCTGGGTATGCCAGAAGAAGCATAAAAGCAAGTTGAATGCAGTGGAGATGCGATCTCTTCGTAAAATGTGCGGCGTTACCATGGCCGACCGAAAGCGAAACGAAGAGATTCGCAATATGGCAGGTTTGAAAGATGACCTTATCATAAAAATTGATAAGGGCGTGCTTCGATGGTTTGGGCACGTTGAGCGAATGAGTGAAGACCGAATGGTGAAGAAAATATATAGCGCGAAAGTAAATATTAAAAGGTGTCGAGGTAGACCGAGACTAACTTTCGAAGACCATGTGAGCAAATTGCTTGAAGTGGAGAGGGTCAAGAGTACTCGGATACCTAGACGTGCTTGTATGAAGAAGATAATGAATCTGAAAGAAGCGAAAGAGGTATGTAAGGATCGTGACACTTGGCGATCTGTTCTCTCTGACTACCCCGTCAGGGATTGTGCGTGAAGATAAGTAAGTAAAATATTGTATATATTGGCCCATCTGTGCCTACTAATAATGCAATATACATAAATATTAAGCATATTTTTATCTATAATTTACCTTAAGTCACCTTTTATAACAACCATGATGTTGTTTAATTTGTAATATTATTTGCAGCTTCATAGATCTAAATCATTATTTTCTGTTCTATAATTTTTAGTTTGCCAAAGTAGTTTGAAAGAACTAAAGAAGAAAGCTGTTTAATAACGTAATATTTTAATAAAATACTTATCTTGTTATATATAAGATAAGTATTTTATTAAAATATTACGTTATTAAACTGTTTTCTATTGTTATTGTTATATATAAGATAAGTATTTTATTAAAATATCACGTTATTGAACTGCTTTCTATTGCTAACAAAAATTTAAATTTATTTATTTTCCTACTCCATCCATCCATTACATTCTAAAATTTCATTGCTGTACCTAGGTCTCTATTATAGATTACCTCATAGGGCATTTTGCCACAGCTACCCCGCTTGGCAAGCGGTTCAGCATCCGCAGATTTTTATTATTTTGTGTCTACTTCACTTGGTCTTTCTTGCTTTTGTTGCCAAAATCCAGAAATCACCCATGCTTAGTCAGGGTGGATATAAAATAAAAAATATTTCGCGGCAAATAATTTATTTGATTGATAATTTGTAACCACAAGTGCATCGTAAAGTATAATAATATTCAAATCACAGCGATTCTAAAGTAGTTTTTACTTCAAAAGATATTAGCTTAACCGGCCACACGAAACTGGTGCACAAGCCAGAATAGTAGAAAAAAATGGTGGGGGTGCTACTAGCTCAAAAAGAGAACTCCGTCCTGTTTAGCCAGCCTGGCTTTAGATAGTAATTTATTAGCCCAGAAGTAAAGCTTATTCTGTATAATATGAAGTCAGAGCAACTAGCTTGCCAACCTACAACTTACAAGCACGAGTTGCTATCTGTGCATTAAGTATCAAAATCGTCTTCAAACTATTATTTAAACGATAAAACTGGAGCAGCAATCATCTGGCGGTTAAATTCACGCACAGAATATCATAATAGAATCAGAATATCAATTCACAAATTCATTCATATTCTCCTAGCCTCCCTAATCGTTAGAGAAAATATAATTTTGCATATTTAAAAATAAATAAAAATACATATAGGTGTTACTAAATTTTAAAAGTTGATTGACTTCACATCACTAAAAAATGGGCGGAGCTTACAGCCTCCGCCATTTATTGTTTCAATTTGACACGATTTTTTGTAGCCTTGCCATCTCCTCTATTTTCTAGGCGCAAAGTGTTGTTAAGATTCGTTAATTAACGCAGGCAAAGGTCTAACATCATACTATATGCTGATGCGTCACATTGCAGTTTCTGGGAGATTTTTACGACAGCTTAACCCATCAGACGGTTGATGTTAATAATATACCAATGTCCCTAAGCGGATAGAGAAGTCTGAGATTTCTATTACCATCAAATCACTTGTTCCATCGTTTCCACTTATTGTTCACACGTGCAGACACTCAAAATCGCTTCGCTTTTGCGTATCAAAATCTATTCCAAACCATTATTTTTACGATAAGATAGGAGCATCAATCCAAAACTCACAGATTGATATCCTCGCTAACAGATCAGCAGTTTAATAGCCAAACCGACGGTTAGGTATGACTTTGTGAACTAAGACTATAGTTTTGAATATTATGGTTTTCTAATCTAAAATAATATTATAAAGAAAAGATTTGTTTTTGTTTGTAATGGATGAACTCTAAAACTACTAGTTCGATTTTGAAAATTAATCCAAGCGCAACGACACTATAAAAGTTTTGTTTTTAAAGAGGTGACTGTAAAATTAGCCTGATTGATCTCTTAAATATTTAATACTTTAGTATTCAATGCGCAAGCTCACGCAACTAGTGTTTTGCGAAATGTATAATATATTTAGTGCTTCTATACTAAACCACAATATGGAATATTGTTCTGCTCGGCGGGGGCTGCCCAACGGAGCAGTTTCGGCTACCTGTTTTTTTTAAATACATTAATCGTGAATCACCCTGAACTCTCGACATGTTTTTATAAATATGTCGAGAAATTGAAACATTGCAATAAATACTTTGTGCATCCTGGACTAAACCTCTTTAGTAATTTACATATTATTTTCTTAAAAATCTAATACTTACTGACATTGTTACAAAGAGTATGTTTTTTCTTTGTGGTTTATAATGCAAATGGAGTATTTTGTATTGTGAAAACTCATTTGATCTCAATTGTTTATGATGATATTTCCGCCAGAGTTGAAGACGCATGCTCAAAAAGTATGTTCTTTGTATAAAACAGGATTGAGGATGATAGAATCTTATTATGTTATAAGGTACGGAAATGATAAAATTGTTTAAAGCATTTACGCATTTCCTTTTCCATCTTCCATATATTATCCATCCACCTACTACAACCTTTAATAATACACTGGTGAACATAGATCTAATCTATACTAGCAGTTTAGTGGCGGGTTGGCAAGCACAGTTCTTTTATTACATTAATTTGACATCAGGAAGATGCTGTTGCACCTATCTCCTGTTTCATTTTTCCCTCTATCGCCTTTTCGTCGCCCCGGGACGCTATGTGGTAATGGATATTCTTACACCGCTACTATACGGTAGTAAGTTATTGTTATAATATCTATTACTCTCATCCCTTCGAATCGTTACCGGTGGGAATCACTCATAGAACAATGAGTAATGCTCACGCAACTACTTAGCATGTTCTTTAATTATGATTACGATTTGTAACCTAAAATAAGAAGCTAATATAAAAAAGACTATTTAAAAGGAAAAGAGCTCTTACATTCGATTTCGATACTGATATATTTACAAAGCACCCAAGTCAAAAATCAAAACAAAGTCAAACAGGATTCTCACAAAACTCTTGACAATCGTCCAGAGTCTTGTGAGAATAATAACCAAATAAGTCTTTATTTGAGGATTTTTAAAATATTTATAAAAATAAAATGTCTGCAAATTCAAAACTAATCACTATCTGTTATATTGTAAATTGTGTCTTTCAATAGCAAAAATCAATAACAAGATCAGAAATAACAAACCACAAAATCGAAACACATGGAGTTTTGTAACACCTAGGACGCATTTCAAGCACAAAGAAACTTGAATTCAAAAATTGGCATGCGAAACGCTAAAAGCACCAGAACGTTTACGTGGTAAAGCCGCTACGCTGGAGTGATTACGGCTGCATTATGAATGGCACGACTCAACAGGGAAAAAACACATTAATAACAAAATATTATGCTGCTGTGTGATGTAGTATCATCATCATCATCATTAAAGCCCTTCACAAGTCCACTGCTGAACATAGGCCTCCCACAAGGAATGCCACAAAGCAAGTACTCGTAGTAGGTACTCGTAGGAAGGTTTGGTACTCTGGTTCTGTACTCGGATAGCCATCGCAACCCTACTGTACCTACAAAAACTTCAGCACTTCGATATATAGACAGTCAATTTGGCACCGCAGTAGGGACTTTAGCACCGCCCAATTTTTGACGGAATCAAAGGCTTTCTCATAGTCAACATACGCAAGGCAAAGTGATAGATTATACTATTCGGTTTTCTGTACAATTTGCTGAAATCGGTTAAGAATCGATAAGTCCTTTTTAATGCACAGTAGATCAGATTTCTAGGCCTGATTTTCTGTTTCTAACAGTTAGTTCCTAAAATATATTTGAAGTATATTCACTTGTGGCTAAGATATCACTTTATATGTTTTAGCGTATTTTTGAATCGAGGATAGCGGGGATGGTAAGTGACGACACCCGGAGAGTTCTTTTACTGTGAAAGTAGAAGTTTAAAGTTATTATTAAAGTTATTTTTACTGTGAAAGGAGCATTCTCCATCTTAGTCCTTAGGTTTGTCAACGCATTTTGATTCTTAGTCGAGGGTTAGAGGGTTGAATTGTGTATGGCCTACAGCATCCATTCACAATCAGTTAGACCGTGTACTCGTCTGGTAGCTTAATTTCTGTAAAAATCCTAGTGATAGTGAGAGAAAAAAAGATGAAGAAAGAAATAGACATAAATAACATAGCAGACACATTATTTATAAATGAAAATATAAATCTCTTGCAATTGCAGTCGTGAAATCCAGCTCCAACACAAGCATTAAAATGATATTTTTTATTTATGAATGATGTACCTATTAAAATAATATTATTTTGTTAGGCCTGTAATTCGTTATCATCAAGTTCTTTTAAGGAAGCGCTTCGATGATAAAAAATGCATTTGTGATCCTAAAGAACAACGTAAACTTCTATGGCTTGGCGAACATGAAGCATTTATGAAGAAACATCCACTACCACTTGCAAAGTGTAAGTAATTTTCTGATAGTTTGTTGAACATAACAATGTATTATGTCGATCAGTATTTAATAATATATCGCACTCATATTCGTTGCTTTTATTATATGTATCTTTTAGATTATCACTAGACGTCTCTTCCGTTCTTTATGTCTCATAAAATTATAATTTTAAAATATTGGTTATAGTCATTTGTGTAATGTTACAGTAACAGCCTCTTTTAGTCTACTTCTGAACATAGTCCTCCCCATGTTTGCCTCATGGGGGATATTTGCCATAGTTGCAACGCTTGGCAAGCGGGCTGCAGTTTTTTTTTGTCGTTATTAGGAAGACGCTGCTGCTCTTACGACACTCACGAGATGATATACCTCCACTTCACGGTGTAAACTTAAAAATATCTAATGTGACAATACCACTTTATTATAAAATATTATAAAAAACATTAAGAAAACATTTTTATTAACAAAATTAGTGGTTAATCCATGTGAAATAATTAATTTTGTTGCATGCTTGCAGTTCCGAAATCTGTTGGACGTGCTGGCGGTGTAGCATTTGAACGCGTTGTTCAACCCCCGGACTGGGTTTTGGATTATTGGCATCCATTAGAGAAAGCGCAATATCCTGAATATTTCAAAACTAGGGAATGTAGAAAATGCGAGTATATACAAAAATGGCAAGCAGGAATTTTATAATTATGTTGATATTATTTTAATAGAGTCTGCTTGTGATTAAAATAAGTTTGACATTGTAATTATGTGTTCTTTATTTTGTTATAAATGAAAGCGCGCCATTTTGTGGGTGTGGTAATAGTTATTTAGACTGAGCAAAAGCTCGCGACTTCATGTTTCCCTTTGAACCCTCCAAAACATTTAAAAATGGTTAAAATAATTAAGTGGATTTTCATACATAAAAGTGCAAACTTGAGCAATTTTGATTAATATATTACTTTTAATTAATTTTAAGTAATATATTACTCAAAATCTATTGTTACTGTGTAACAAGGTACTTGTACTGTGCACTGGAACGGTACACCGACTGATCGGCTAGGTTAGGTAAAAAACGTATGTTTCAAAAATAATAAATTCAATGGTAATTTCACTTTAATTACGATAATTCGAGTATATGGACATTTATCTGATAGTTCTTTTTTTTTTAAATATGCAAGTTGGTTGTGTACCTATGACTACTTTAATTATTACAAGAAAAAATATATATAAATAAATATTTTAATTTTACCAATGAGAGCTGATAATCTTCGGCACACCAGGTGTCGCTAGTTGACAATGAGGCAAAGTTTTTGTTACACAATGTCATTTAATTGAGAAGTCAGTTTAAAAAAAAAGTTAATGAGTTTCTAGAGCATTTTATTAATACACAAAACAATCCCTCAGTGGTTTGCTCTTTAATTTTTTGCACACTTTTCTTTTAATTTTTATATTTTTATAAATATCTGTGGTTGGTTTTTTTTAATCTAAGTAATATAAGATATACTAATAATGGTATGGGCGACAGGCTTTGTCTGAACCATACCGGCCCGTCAGGGTACATGTGTTCTGTGCATACCGGTTAGAGTGCTGGGTGAGACACATGTGAGACAGGGTGGGCTAAGCTCACCTAGTCTCTTTAATCTTTATATAAATAGACTTATTGAGGCGCTTAGTGGCATACATGTCGAATGTCATATAGATGGAATGTGTGTAAACAACCTGAGTTATGCAGACGACATGGTGCTTCTGAGTGCATCAGTATGTGGGTTAAGAAAATTTTTAAGTGTTTGTGAGGCTGTTTAAGAGTTATTTACGTGGTAGAGCCATGCTGCAGCTATATTAATAGTATAGTTGTAGCACGAATGGGTCGGCTCGACCGGGGAAGGACCACACTCTCACAGAATACCAGCGTAAAATAGCAGCTTAATGCTGCTGTGTTTCGCATGGTGAGTGAAGAGAACCGGAGACCCACTTTACTAGAAAAGAGGCATTCTATCTTAGTTCTCACGGCTGACAACGCATCTGCATTTTAATTCGCAAACAAAGATAGATGTAGATGTCTATGGGCCACTGTAACCACTTACCATCAGGTGGACTTTGTGCTCGTTTGTCACCCTTATTCTATAAAAAAAGGCATTTGCGGTTGAACATGGGCTGAAGTACAATGTACAAAAAAGTCAGTATATGATCTTTGGGGCCGGACGGGACCGTACGAATAATGTGCCTCCTATTAAATTAAACAATACACCATTAACTAGGGTAGACTCTTTTAAATATTTAAGTCATATGGTTACGTCCGACCTCAAGAATAATACTTACATGGAAAGGGAACGTAGGGCTATGTCAGTTCGAGCAAATATGATTGCTCGCAGGTTCGCGCGATGCTCAAGGGATGTTAAACTCACTCTATTTAGAGCGTTTTGCACATCTCTTTACACGTGCAGCCTATGGAGGGACTACACGCAACGGGCCTATGGAGCCCTTCGGATCCAATATAACAACGCGTTCCGGGTGCCGATAGGGCTCTCCCGTCGCTGCAGTGCATCAGCGATGTTTGCTCAAGCTCATGTAGATTGTTTTTACGCAACTATGCGTAAAAGAGCTGCATCTCTGGTGCGCAGGGTTAGGGCCAGCCCCAACGGTATTCTAAAAATGATAAGTGACAGAGTGTACTGTCCCTATCTGCAACACTGTTGTACGATGCATTTGCCCAGCAACTAATTATAAATATATAATAATAATAATAATTTTAATGCATGTATCCCAATGTTAATATAATAATAGAGTATTTAATAGTACAGAAAAAAACATTAACTTTTACATTTTTCGAACAAATTAACTTCTCCGCTATGAAATCTGCCAAATATTATACCTCAATTTTAAGTGGCGCCGTCCTGGTGGCAGAAAGATTCATGGGTGCCCTCAATATCTGACTTCAATAAAACCGGTATTCGACCGAATAGGACAAAAGTAGCCGAATAGTCGTTGCAAGTCTAATAATTTCTTATTACTTGACAATCATCATTATCATCAACATCATTACAGCCTTTCACTCATCTTACAGTCCACTGTCCTGAGCCACCTGCATCCAACTCGACAATGGCGAAAGTATAATCGCACGAGTCCAAAACCAAAGAAAAAAGGTTAATGTTTCGCGATTGTAAAATGTCAATGTCAAATTATCAAAGCTGTCAAAAAAGTGTCAATTTCAGGGTTCCCAGCTTAGGGGGTTTCTCCCGAAATTTAGGGGGTAAATAAGTGGGATGGGACTTTTTAAGAGGCTATATTATTAGAGGTATTTTTAAGGACTTTTAAATTTTTCCACTTTAGCTGATTTTCCGTTTAGAAGTTTACGATGATTGCGGCGAAGCTGGCTGTAAACCTTTTGAAAATGTAGCAAAATTAGGGTTGTATGTTGTGCATTAATTATTATGGTTGCAATTTCTTATTATCTATTGAAATGCTACCACATGTGATGATGATCTGTTTCAGATTGCAACTAATTGCGCATCATTTATAACATTTGATCCGTTTACTAAAATGAATGTATATTTAATATCCAAATGTATGATTTTAATAAGTCGGAACGAAGATACGAAAACGGAAGGAAGAAAACGAAATAATATTTGAAATATTAAATATTTTATGTAATATTTTATATAACAACGTCAGCGACAGCGAAGCGATAGGGTCATCACCATCTTGGTTCAGTGGTAAAGGGCCCATTTCATAGTTGGAGTTAAATTATAACACGAACTGTAAATATAACCTCACTTTTAATCGGATAAACTAAATAGACAATAACAGGTGGTAATAATTTAACTAGGCAAACCGACAGTTTCGTTTTTGAAGAAGTGACTTGGTCCACGTTTATATGCGAATTGCCCGTTCGACAATCCCCACCTTCCAAAACGACTGTCTCCACTTGCTGCCATTACAAACTAACGTCACGGCGTTTGACCCACTACTACATTAACCAATTAAGCAACTTTTATTAAAATGATATCGTTATCTGTGACATTTGTATAAAGAACATTCATTACAAATAGGGATGAATCGTCGACGTATTTGTCACTAACGAAACTAGACCGTCCATTTTCGTTCATCAACTAGTCGATCAACTAGTTTACGCGTCAACTTGGTTTTGCAGACGTTTAAATTTAAACTTCGCGATGTTGTCTATTGTTCGACATAGACGACATACGTAGACTGTAGACTAGTGTACCGTCATGATGTATTAAGTAGTCTATCATTAAGTCGCTCTTCTCTTTTGCACACGTGTATGTTCACGTTTCACTAGACGGCATCCTTTTCTTCACCTAACACAATAATAAACTGCAATTTATACTCTTACGCTGTCTACATTTAGATGTCATTTCAACGAACATAATATGAACTTATATTATCTGACCACGGTCTCGCGTCGGTCGTCGCGTTACTAGTCGAAATGAACGTTATGGAGTTTCAATTTAGCCGTCTACGGATTCGACTAATCCATTGATTGTTCGTAAACCGTCTACTCATTCACAGTACGTCGACGGTCGAATTAAGGTGAAATCGCCAGGGTAACCCGTGAAATTCAAATTTTTTACGTTTTTTGCAATTTGTAGGTCAGTGTCAGGTTATATGTATTTATTAGTACAATTAAAAATACTTAAAAAAAATATCATTCATTTCATTAGTTATGCTTACTTCTATTCATCGGATAAGAAAAAATACATATATAAAATAAAATATTATAAAGAGGAAAGATTTGTTTGTTTGTTTGAAATGAATAGGCTCCGAAACTACTGGACCGATTTGAAAAATTCTTTCACAATTAGAATCCTACATTATCCCTGATGAACATAGGCTATATAATATTTTCAAAAAAGTTAGGGATCCGTATGAAAAAACTTCGTTAATGTAACCCAAGGTGTGAAAAAAATACAAAAAAGAATCCTTATATCGCGTACACTGCGGAAACTATTGATAATAGAGCAAAGTAATGTACTTCAGTTTATAGAGGATATCAATATCTACAAAAAAGCCTGCGATACCATATGTTTAGCTATTACAGTTATGTCACAATAACTACTTTTTCATGTTAAGATATGAAATAGTACGTTGGTACAAACTAGGCCACATTATTCGTATCAGTACCTGTACCATGCAAAACCACCAATTTTAGTAACATATTTCACTTTTTAAATCTTTGTTAATTCAGCAAACGTCCGTCGTGATATACGCGGGTGAAACCGCGAGGCACAGCTAGTATAAAATAAAAACAATTGACTGTAGCTTATAAAAAACTCGTTTTTATTGCTTATTTTGGGTAAAATTTCATATAGTAGGCAATACCAACCCGCCATTGCATGTTTATGTGTCTATCTTTATCTAATCTTAGCGACGGTATTGCTTCCGCGACTTGTGCAAGTGAGACAGATATATGTTTACTTAAAAAGCATTAGTAGTTTCAAAGCTACGTTGTCTCGGTTAGATAGTGGTTTCACTTTTTTTCGACGCGCGGTAATGTGGTTTGCTCCTCTAGTCTTGTATAACTCAATGAATGAACGCCCATCGCTAATTACAAAGAATTGTACTTATTTTTAGGGGACTTCCATGTAAATATGGTGATTTTAGGGGTATTTGACATAACCTTTAGGGGTAAATAATAAATATTTTTTGGAGTTGGTAGCACTGGTTAATCTGTCAAGTCCTCATGTCCTATTCCCATGATTGATGTTTGTATTATTTTTATTTTAAATAAAAATTAACCAGTTACTCATACTATAAAAGATTCAAGAAATTTAATACTTAACTCTTTATAAAACATATTTTGAAATGGGCGAGAAAGTTACAGCTGAAACTAAGAAGGTTATGACCGATGAGGAGCGATTGGAACTGTGTCAGAAGTTAGATCAGGAACTTGACGATTTTATAAACAGCTTAGAAAGGAAAAGATACACAGAGGGATGGCCGGAAGATCGATGGGAGGTAAATTCAATTTCTCCTATGTAAAGTTTATCTATATCCAGTACATAAAAATATACATACACATATAATATGACCGAGACAAAAATGTCATTTTGTGTGTTAGTCCTTTTTGAAAATTATAAATTTACGTTTCATAATTGGAACCAACCCTAATACCATATTAGATGTTATAAGTTACAAAGTGACATGTTTATGTCTCAGCACATTCGTCACCCACATGTCTCTACAGCATTCGATTAGTATCTGTGATTTGTTACAGCAGGAAGTGGCTTCACTTTCTTCGCGCCTGTGGTGTTTTAAAAACATTAGGCAAACATGTACCTATGTTACCTAGCACCATACCTATTTTTACTCCCTTAATCATTTTTGACACAAAAATAGATAATGTACAGACACCTATAATTTATATTTTTATTATATACATACATGTTTTACTCAACACAAGCTTTCTCATTTCTGACAGGGTTTTGTAGTAGTAAAGAGGCTGCCTAGATTTTCATCTTATTGCTTGTTGGTGGATTTCATTCTCAGATATTATGCAATTTCCCTATCAGTGTTCATTACTTAGCATGTCACAAATTGGCTCTTCTAATTACATTTATGATGAAGACAATAAAAAAAAATCGCTACTATATCTTAAATTATAATTTGGTAAAAAGTGAAGCAAAGTTAATAAAGTAATAACTTTTTGCCATAATGTTAGTAATGAAAATATTTTTTTTTAAAGAGTAAAATATGTAGAGTTCAACAAGTCTTTTCGAAATATTTTCATTTCACAGATATGTAGTTTCATTCACCACTTAGCAAGTAGTAAATTTGCACTTTAAACTTACAATTATTAATTTTATTGATGCTGGTGGTGACCAAGCCTGTTTCGCTCACATACTGTAAAATTAAAGGTGAAGGAGAATTAGCACCTGAGCTACCATGGCTATACTAATGTGGGTATTTATATAATAAAGCAGAAGAGTTTGTTTGTTTTTTTGTTTGTTTAAACGCGCTAATCTCTGGAACTACCAGTCTGATTTGAAAAATTCTTTTTGTATGTTATAGCTAGATTCATGTGAAATAGTATAGGCTATCTAGCATTAAGCTGTATTACTCAGCTAGCCTTAAATATGGATATTTGTTAAGCAAGTCAGAAGAAAAAGCACTACCGAAATGATTTATCCACTTACGCTGGTGTTATCGTTAGGGATACTTAAATACAATGTTCTAGAAAAATATAGACCTTTACTCCGTCTAAAAAAAGTCCGTGATACCATATGTATGAAATTTCTTATACATAAGCCATAATTAGGTAATTTGTGAAAAAAAATATTGAAAATTAAAAAGTGATTTATGAGCGTTATTATTAGGCATGGCCTATTTATCCTTACAAACGAAAGTTATTTCATCATCAAGACAATTTTATGAAGATTAACTTAGTTCTTTATACCATGTTATTTGGACGCATAGTTCAGAGATAATGTGAAATTAAAATAATTCAGTACTTGACTGGGCGTGCAAACGAAGCATAAAACTTAGCCGCCTGGTGAGAACTGCGAGAAGCCAGTATTGAAAGCTTCTATGAGTGAGGTTAGTTCAATCATTATAGCTAAAATAAATTAAAAATTAATTGAGTACTTTTATGACAATGATTAGTTACATCTTTATTTCTGAACTCTTTCTTTTCACATTGCTATGGTATTTTGAAAATTTAATTAATTAATAAATATAAGAGTTTGATCATCATGAATCATAGCGTCGAATTTAGGGAATATGTAAAAAAATATTCAAAAATATTTAAAAGAGTGTGCTCCATAGCCAAGTCTTTGCATTTGAGCAACAAAATTAAGACGGCTTCCAATAAAATTAAAATGACATGGAGTATAATTAATAGCGAAACTGGTAAGATCAACTCTCGCAATTCAAATTACCAGTTAAGTGTAAACAACAAATTAACTGTATCAGATCAGGACGTAGCAATGGTTTTTGAGAAATATTTTACTGATATTCCGATCTTGACCACTAAGTCACTGAATTCTTCTCCTGCCGTCGCCGAATCATTACTTAAACAAAATGTAAATGTGTGTACAAAGAATTTTACATTTCATAAAGTGTCATCAAAAGATATTGTAAAATATTTTAAAACTATTGATGTTAAGAAAACTGCGGATCTGTGGGGGATTTCCGTTAAAGTTATTGCGTCTATAATAGATACAATCGCGCCTCATTTAGCTATTATTTTTAATACTAGTATCGAATCTGGTGTGTTTCCTGATTTAATGAAGCATAGTAAAGTAATACCTTTATTTAAATCTGGTAGTACATTAGACCCCGCCAATTTTAGACCTATTTCTGTACTACCAACACTTAGTAAGATTTTTGAAAAAATTGTTCTTGTTCAAATGTTAAATTTTTTTAATATAAATAATTTACTTCATAAAAATCAATTTGGTTTCACAAGGGGTCGCTCGACAACTGATGCCGGTGTTGAGCTGATTAAATATATCTTTAATGCATGGGAGAACTCACAGGATGCTTTGGGTATATTTTGTGACCTATCCAAGGCCTTCGATTGTGTTCACCATGAAACATTAATCAGGAAACTTCAACACTACGGTGTAAGAAGTGATGCCCTTAAATTAATTATTTCATATTTAAGTAAGAGAACGCAAAAAGTTGTCATTAACAATATGAGCTCTTCCGGATCGATGGTACAAATGGGCGTGCCTCAAGGCTCAATTCTCGGCCCCTTTCTGTTTCTTGTATACATTAATGACTTACCTTACATAGTAGGGGATAACCATGATATAGTATTATTTGCAGATGACACTTCTTTAATTTTCAAATTAAGTCGACAGTTACTAAAATATGACGAAGTAAATAATGCTATCTCTAAATTAGTAAATTGGTTCGATGTTAATAATTTGCATTTAAATGGCACTAAAACAAAATGTATGAAATTCGTGACTCCAAATGTCAAACAATTAAATACTAATGTAATTTTAAATGGGGAGAAACTGAGTCTTGTAGATACCACCATTTTTCTTGGAATCACACTAGACGCGAAGCTTCAATGGAGCCCCCATATATCAAAACTAGCAAGCAGACTTAGTTCTGCAGCATATGCTGTAAAAAAGATTAGAAGTTTAACCAGTGTTGAAACAGCTAGGCTAGTTTACTTCAGCTACTTCCATAGCATAATGTCGTATGGTATTTTGCTATGGGGACACGCAGCTGACACTGAAATTATATTTGTTTTGCAGAAGAGGGCCATAAGAGCAATTTATGATTTAAAGCCTAAAGAGACGCTGCGACAAAAATTTAAGGAAATTAATATATTAACTTTGGCCTCTCAATACATTTATGAAAATGTAATGTACGTACACAAAAATAAAAGTAGTTTTACAAAAATAAGTGATATTCATTCTGTAAATACTAGGAACAGACACAAGCTAGTAGTACCAGTTACTCGACTCCATCGAGTCAGTAATTCATTCTTGGGGCGATGTATACGCTTTTACAACAAAATTCCAGAAAATATACAAAGTTTGACTTGTTCAAAGTTCAAAAACTTTATTAAACTAAGTTTGTATAAAAAGGGTTATTATAATATTAAGGAATTTATGGATGATAATAACCCCTGGAAATGAGATGATCGCTACCAAGCTATTTCTAATTTGTTGTGTTGTTAATTTGTGTAACATCATGATTGTAAGCTGTTATTTAAAAAAAAAAGTCCCGCTGGGTTTCTTGCTGGTTCTTCCCAGGACAGAGGTTTTTTCCGAACCAGTGGTAATCAAACAAAAGAGTGACTTTCAATAAGTATTATTTATAATCTATATTGAATAAAAAAGTTTCTGTTTCTGTTTCTGTTTCTGATGGCTCAAGAATCATTTCATGGCTACACACTTTTCATGTATCGTGTACGGTTTTCTTTAAAACTGGAAAAAACTGCACATCAGGACACTTTCTGGGATGTGGGGGGGGGGACGCTCAACCGGGAAGGGGAGGGAAAATGGATAAAACTTAACTTTGCTCTACACCATACATAATATGCCGACAGATAAAAGTACTCCATTAATTATGCCAATTTTTCCATACATTGCTATCAAATAAAATATTTAATTGCAACTATAAAATGCTTGAACTAGGGCATGTCGCGCATCTTTGACACGTGATGACGCGGGTGAAACTGCGGGGCACAGCTAGTGTGGGTATATTATCAATCAGTTTAAATATATTCAAATAAAAAATAAAAGGAAATGAATGAAATTAATGATATGTTGTGTAAATAAAATACAGTTTATAATTTACAATTCAAATTTCCAGAATGATAATATTTATTATTCTACTGTTATTTGTATTTATATAACTAACAATGACAATAAAATAAAACTTATTCTCTTGTAACACTATAAAGACATTGAGGGAAAAAAGGTCTTCACAGTTTTTATGGATGCACCTTCTGTTTTAAGAAATTAAAACTTTGACCTATTTATTCTACAATCTTACTATGAACATTGCAAGTGAATCTGAAATCATGCTCATTATTGTAAGAACACATGCTCACACACACATATGCATCTAAAATTAATCAACATGTTGTTAGGGGGCTGTGATGTGGCCAGGACTTTGAAAGAGCTGATAAAGAAAGAAGCAAGAAGATGCGTGGTAGAGCCATGCTGAAGCTATATTAGTATAGTTGTAGCACGAATGGGTCAGCTCGACCGGGGAAGGGCCACACTCTCACAGAATACCAGTGTAAAATAGCTGCTTAATGCTCCTGTGTTTCATATGGTGAATGTAGACAACCGGAGACCACTTTTACTGGAAATAAGGCATTCCATCTTAGTCCTGATGGGTGACAACGCATCTGCATTTTGATTTGTAGTGGAGGATAGATGTAGATGTCAGGTGAACTGTTTACCTGTTTGTCACCCCTACCGTATAAAAAAAGAAAGATGTTTGCATAAGTGCTCATCAAATGTTGAGCATTGTTTTGGCACCACTTGTAATGTGAAGTATGCAAGTACTCTTCTTAGTTTGTGGTGCGAACTTGCAATCTGTTCTTTGTAGGAAGAAATGGACAAGCATCCATTCTTCATGAAGTCCAATCCAGATGCAACAGAAATGTCACCGTTAGCCGAAGGTCTAGCAAAACTAAAGTATGATCCGGAAGAGAACACACCTCTAGAATTAGCCTCTAGTTATAAAGAAGATGGCAACTTTAATTTTAAGCATAAAAATTATCGGTTGGCAATTTTAGGGTGAGTATTATTTTTCGAAAAGTCCTCATATTTTTATTTGAAAAGCTAAAATACTGTAAACTTATTACTAAGCTGAATACTGAGCTTTAGTTTTTTAGTTTAATTTAATCACCTACTTTTCCGCCTGGGAATCCGTCTGGCTAGGTACCATACTCTTAACTATTTTTGCTGCCAAATAACTGTCTTGGCTGTGTTCGGATGTGTGTCTGAAGGGTATAGGGCACCAGTATAATTACAGGCATTCAGTTCCCTAGCTTGGACAAATCTAGACGTGGGCTATGTCGCATGATCGAGGCCTTTTTATTTATATCGGTTACTCTGGTTCTACTGCGGATATCCTCATTTCTAAGTTTATCACGCAGAGAAACCCCGAGCATAGCTCTCTCTGGGGACTGCAGCACCGCCCAAATTTCGACGGAATCAAAGGCTTTCTCATAGTCCACATACGCCAGACATAGTGGCAAATTGTACTCCTCGGACCTCTGTACAATTTGCCGAAGGGTATGTATGTGGTCTATGTACTAAAGCCCTTTCGGAAACCGGCTTGTTCGGGAGGCTGGAAGTCTGCGCGCGAGACGATTCGTAATGATTCTCGCAAACAGCACGTAGACGCGGCTCAGAAGGGAAATCGTTGTCATCTTTCTTGAAGAACAAGACCACCGCACTTCTGCTCCACGCCTCCGGTGTAATGCCACCGTGGAGGACGGAATTAAAAAGCTTCTGAACGACTTCAAGTACCGGTTTTCCACCCGCTTTCAGAAGCTCCGCTGTAATTCCATCCTCGCCTGGGGCCTTGCCGTTTCTAAGGTGCTGGAGAGCCATTCTAATCTCGCTCAGACCGACGTCAGGGATAACTTCGAAATAGTGTCGGATAAGACTCGCTCTTGGATCGTTATTCACACTTGCGTGTGGCTCCAACGATGACGTGTACAGCTGCCCATAGAACCTCTCCATCTCACTCAAAATCTCAGGTGCCCCGGAAACGATGCTGCCACACTCGGTCTTCAGCTTTGACAGTTGGCTCTTACTGGCAGACAGATCTCTGGCAAAGACTTTGGAGCCTTGGTTCCGCTCGATCGCTTCTTCAATACCAGCTGTATTGAAGTTGCGTAAGTCCCGCCGCATGCATTTGGAGATCTGTCTGTTCAGTTGCCTGTATGCTGTCAAATCTGTTGAAGAATGTAGCTTCATCTCCCGTCTAACAGCCATGAGATTGAAAGTGTGATCGGAGAGTTTTTGTGTTCTTCTGCGGCGGTTCTTGCAGAACTTAGCTCCAACCGCATGGACAGTTTCACGAGCTTGTCATTCATATCGTCCACTTCATTGCAGTCTTCTAGGCACTGAAAACGGTTTTTTAACTCGAGCTGAAAGGTTTCGGGACTTTGGAACAGAGTACGAGGGGGACGGAGCGTTGGCTTCATTAGACGACACCTCTCCAACTCAACGTTTAGGTTCAGTGTGCCTCTAAACATTCGGTGATCGGTACCAGTTTTCACCCTCGCGATCACGGAGACATCACTGAACATTTGTCGTCTGGTTGTCATAATGAAGTCAATCTCATTTTTTGTGGAACCGTCAGGGCTCGACCAGGTCCACTTCCTGTGGGGCCGCTTCTGGAAGAAAGAGTTCATCATAAAGAGTCCCTCTTTCTTCATGAAGTCGGCCAGCTGCTGGCCCCTTGGGTTCCGTTGCCCTATTCCAAATTTCCCTACTTTCAGCTCGCCGTTTTCTCATGTGCCTAGTTTTGCATTGAAGTCTCCCATTAACACCGTATATTGGGTTTTGGAGGAATGCATGGCTCTAGAGATATCCTCATACATTTCCTCCACCTCCTTATCGGGGTTGTGACGAGGTTGGTGCGTAAACCTGTATGACCTTCAGCGAATACCGTTTGGTGATTCTGAGTATAAGGTACGCAATCCTCGTCGACACACTCCCGATCTTTATAACGTTGTTAACGAGAGACTTGTGGACGATAAATCCGACACCTCCTTGGGACAGATGGTCGCCCTTCCGGTGATAGAGCAAGTTGCCGGATTCGAGGATTACAGTGTCCTCCCCCTCTCTTCGGACTTCGGATAATCCTATAATATGCCAGCGTAACTTGTCTATCTCTTCTTCCAGCTCCACGACCTTCTCGTCAGTCCTCAGGTTGCGTGCGTTGTATGTTGCCAGGTCGAGTCGTCTTAGGTGGCAACCGAACCTCCACCGGAGATTCTTAGCACCTCCTGCCCCGCCGTTACCATGATCGCCACCGTAGCCAGGAATAGCGGAGCTGCTGGGGACTGGGGGCCGTTTCTTTGTTACTCTCAACATAGGGGGGTATTTACCATAGCTGCCACGCTTGGCGAGCGGGTTGGCAACCGCAGTTCTTTTATTGTAAGTTTGTTGTTATCAGGAAGATGCTGCTGCCCATCTCCTGCCTGTTTCCCTTTGTTTTACGACACCCACGGGAAGATATGGGGTAGTGGATATTCTTAACTGCCACTACACGGCGAGTCTATATAATTTGCTGACCGTTATTTTCAATAATTACAAATGACGGTGGAGAAATTGAGGCACTGAAACTAGGTTGATTGGTGTACTGCCCTTCGCCAGTGCTTCTTTATGACTATGTTTGGCCACGTACTGCACTACAGGTGTGGGCTAAATGGGCAAAACTAAACCTAGAGACCATTCCACATTACTATATTCCCCAGATCTTGCTCTAATAGACTGCTCATTTTTCACATTTTTTTGATAAGCAAGGATATTAATTCCAAAGTAGCAGTAAAACACTCCTTTTAAGGGTTTACCGATTTTCGCTAAGCAGACTTCTATAGCAAAGACATCAACAAGCTGTCCATAAGATTGCTAGAATGAGTTAATAGTTCAGGAAAATATTTTGGTTAATTAAAGATACCGTGTTTCACGTGCTCGGCGATGAAGCAAGACATCGTGAGGAAACCAGCATGTCTAAGAAAAAAAAATATTTTGAAGACATCTAAAGTCCGCCAACACGCATTGGGGCAGTGCGGCGGAAACTTCCTTGCCCTAAAACCCTCTCAAACTCAAAAGTGGTCCTCCCTGCGCCCAGCAGGATGTGTATAAGCTGTAACTGTAACTTTACTTTAAACTTTTTATTTATTACGATTTTCTCTTTTCATATACACGGTGTAACATGGGGGGTGGATCATCAGTGGCTGGGGGGTGGAGGACCTCAATACCTATTTAACCCCCATATAGGTAATGTAATATTCAGTGGTTCAAAAGTTATTTGGAATTTACTAAAAAATAATTGTCAAAATCCGATTTTAGCCTAAACTTCGCAATTGTAGCCCAACTTATTAGGTTTGCGACCGTGATTTTTTTTATCAAACAAGATAAACGGAGGGTCTTTTGTACCTTTACATCAAACAGAGACTTGGATTTATAAAAATCCATATAAAAAAATTATAGTATTTTTTTTTCAAAATCTAATATTTCCATTAACTTTCTACGGTTCTGAAACAAATATTTCACAAACGATTTTAAAAATCCAAATAAAAAAATTATATTTTTTTTTGTTTTCGAAATCTAATGTTTGCATTAACTTTCTATGGTTCTAAAACAAATATTTCACATACGATTTTTTTCTACAACTTATCTTAAAAACTATTGGTTTTCATGAAGAATTAACCCTGAAAATTTCAATAGGCTAGTGCTGGAGCATCTAGTTGAAAAATTTACTTAAATAGTCCAAGTACCAAAACTCCCAGATTTTATAAGGCCTAAAACTATTTTAAAAACGTCAGTTACCGAGAAAATTAGAAATGCAGCTATCTGCGCTTCTTATCATGTAACATCTGGATTAGGTTAATAAGAAGAATGCTAGAAAAAAATATTATTTCTCGCTCTGGTACTGCTGTGGTTGGCTGATTAGGTAGTTTGGTAATTTTATGGCCATTCTTTTCTTAGAAGCACTTTTGAGTAAGGGGTATGACAATTGTAATTTCCTCCCTTAGTCGTTTATCGTCTGCCCCTCTGCTCCTTCCTGATCTACGTTTCTATCCGTGTTTTAACTTCATCCTCTGAATTCGGCTTGTTTATTGGACTTCGATACTCTCTATGTGATTTGGATTGTTGTTACCTCGGAACGAAGAATGCACGTTTATTGGACGATTATTAATAATAAGTATACCTGCGTTAATTTTGTCCATCATGCCTTATTCTCCTCGCGACTATGCAGAAATGTAGTATTGTTACGGCGCAGCCCGAGGAAACGCCCGAGCGGCTGCTAGGATGTACCGTGAGCAACTGATTAGAAGAGGTGGTCCACAACCTGAAGTATACCCTGACTACCGTGTTTTTTTACGTATCCAGAACGCGTACATGGAAAATCGCGTCCCCGGTTCTTCTCGGCCCGAAGGAGTTCCGAGAATCTACCCAGATCATATCAAACAAATTTTGGAAGAAGTACAAAGAGATTCATCAACAAGTACGAGAGCAATTGGCCGTCGCACAGGCCCATCGCACATGTCTGTGCACAAAACTTTTTTGACATCATAATGTGGACAGATGAGTCAACCTTTAGCCGGAGTGGAATATTTAATATGCATAATGACCACTCCTGAAGTTTTGAAATACACAATTTTCAATAATTAATTAATGAATTCAAAGTATTAATTAATGGGCAGTAGTATTCGACAAACAGCTGATCTGACCGTTCAATCTACCAGCCAGATAAAACGGCGACGCATACTTGCAATTTTTACAAAATAATTTGTATGAAATTTGGCAGGAAGTAAACTTGGCTGTACTGAGCTGCATGTACTTTCAATGCGATGGGGCGCCATGCAATGAATATTTTAATCAAATTTTTCCACGTAAACGGATAGGCCATGGCGTGCCAATAGCCTGGTCTCCAACGTTGCCAGACCTCAACCCCGTAGATCTCAAAAGAAGTTTTATAAAAAGATGCAGGCTATGTATCGTCAATAATGGAGCTCATTTTGAACATTTACTTTAAATAAGCGTGTCAAAAACAATAAATAATATTTTAACAGTACATATTCGTGTGTTTTATTGGACTCATTCCTGTCCTTTCGTATAGTAATCTCGTTATTCTACTTACTAGCGTAGCGTACGCTTAACAAAATAAACTTACGTTTTTAGTAGACTTTAAATTAAAGAAAAAATGTCGATTATTGACACATGGACTTAAAATTTTCAGGGTTAATTCTTCATAAAAACTAATAGTTTTTAAGATAGGTTGTAGAAAAAAATCGTATGTGATATATTTGTTTCAGAACCGTAGAAAGTTAATGGAAATATTAGATTTTGAAAACAAAAAAAAATACTATAATTTTTTATATGGATTTTTATAAATCCAAGTCTCTGTTTGATGTAAAGGTACAAAAGACCCTCTGTTTATCTAGTTTGTAAAAAAAATCACGATCGCAGATCTAATAGTTTGGCTGCAATTGCGAAGTTTAGGCTAAAATCGGATTTTGACAATTTTTTTTAGTAAATTCTAAATAACTTTTGAACCACTGAATATTGCATTACCTATATGGGGGGTTAAATCGATAGGTATTGAGGTTCTCCACCCCCTAGCTGCCGATGATCCACCCCTCATGTTACATCCTGTATATATTCCACAGATTCAAAAACATTTTTCATATTTCGTGATATGTTCAATAATATAATTTTTTCTATCAACAGTTATACCGAAGGAATCAAAGTAAGGTGCGATGACAAAGAAATAAATGCAAGCTTATATAATAATCGCGCAGCTTCGCACTGGCATTTAAAGAATTATAGGTCAGCATTGTTTGATAGCGAGAGAGCGTTATCTTTTAATCCAAACCACACAAAGGCGAGACTCAGAGCAGCTAAATCAGCACTGGAAGTAGCCAAATATGACGTATGCATAGAACACTGTCAGAAACTGTTGGAAGAGTCGAAGGATAAAGAAGTAGTGGAACTGCTCAATACGGCTAAAAAGAAGAAGGTGCTTCAAGAGCGCGATGAGAGGAAAAAGGATAGAATGATTTCTAAAAAAAATGAAGAAAAGGAAGCTGTTGTAAAAGCGATTGTAGAACGTGGCATCAGAATATCGAATTGTGACGACGCGGATGATATAGATTTGTCCAAATTGGAGCCAAGTTTGCCGGGAGCTCACGATGCAATAGTGCATATAGAAAATGGGATATTAAAATGGCCGGTCCTGTTTTTATATCCCGAATACCAAATGACGGATTTCGTCAAAGCTTGCCCCGAAAACGTGCCGCTGCTGAACCAATTAGAACAGCTGTTCCCAGCTCCATGGGATGAAAACAATAAATACAGATGCAGCTCTGTCAATGTATATTTCGAAGGTTACGATAAAATGCCTCACGTTGTGGACCCGTCGAAGAAATTGAGTGATTTATTAGTGATGAAGTACTTTGAACTAAAGGCGGGAACCCCGGCATTCTTTGTTCTACCTAGAGGTAGTAAAGTTGAAAGTAGATTTTTGGAAAGCTATTTGTAATATCATTACGAGTACAAACTGTACTGTCGCTTCTAACTCATGAAATGAAAGAAATAAAAAAAAGAATTGATTTTTGCTAAAGGCCTTTGATTGGACAATGTGCGAAAGGATATTTTTTATTGTAAATTTGCTAAGTAGCAGGTTTTATATCAAAACAAATGTGCAATCGCAAAACGTAATATGTAACATTATGGCTACAAAATGTACCTATTTACTGCTTGTTACTTATACAGTAGGCATTTACTATATACTGTATGAACTTAGAAGTTGTTTACAATTATTTAGCTACCCGCGCATGGAAGCTAAGTTCATAACAGCACAGGTCAACACACATTAATCGGGCGGTTGTGTGGGCCTATTGTGGTTAGAGTTGCCACCTTTTTGGAATAAATATAGTATTTTTGCCAAAAAAGACGCATAAATATAGTACTTTTGGGAAATTCAGGAAAAAAAAGTACACATTTATTTTTAATCTTTATGCATTTTTACACATAAATTTGTTATTGCTCTTCTCTTTGGCCATCAACCTTTTAAATAATTATAGGAGCAAGTAAGATTCATATTAAAATTGTGGTGGTAGAGCCACGCAGCAGTTTTTGCATGTATGGGCCGGCTCGAGCCGGGTTGGTACCACGACCTCACAGAATACCGGCGTGAAGTAGAAGCTCTGCTTCTGCGTTTCGTCTGGTGAGTGCAGGTGGCCAGAGGCCCAATTCCCCCCCCCCCCATCAACATGGTAGCGGAATTACACGATGAACTACCCCAGGAGTGTACCAGTACTCCTGGAGAATCCCTCGCTGAGCATCCACGACCATGTTATTCCGATCCTGAGCGTAGGTGCTCAGGCTGCCCCGCGTATTCTGAGGGGGGGGGGGGCTTTGGGACTTTGCTGAGCAAAGTCTCGGATTGGGGGCGACTAAATCTAGTCCAGTTTAATCCTCAGAAGACACAAGTTTGCGCGTTTACCGCTAAAAAGAACCCCTTTGTCGTATCTCCTCAGTTTCAAGGCACTCCCCTTCTTGCCTCAGCCAGTATCGGTATCCTCGGCGTCGACATATCGAGTGACGTGCAGTTTCGTGGTCACTTGGAAGGGAAGGCCAAATTGGCCTCTAAAAAGCTTGGCGTGCTCAGCAGAGCGGGACAGTATTTCATGCCGGCACCTCGCCTGCAACTTTACAAGGCGCAAGTTCGGCCTCACATGGAATACTGTTCCCATCTCTGGGCAGGGGCTCCCCAGTGCCAGCTCCTTCCACTTGACCGCATTCAACGCAGAGCTGCTCGAATCGTCGACGACCGAGCCCTTTCCGATCGGCTCGATTCATTGGCACTGCGAAGAGATGTTGCATCCCTTTGCATTTTATTTCGCATCTACCATGGGGAGTGCTCTGAGGAATTGTTCGGATTAATCCCAGCCGCCAAATTTCACGAACGCACATCGCGGCAGAACTCCCGATACCATCCACACCATCTGGATGATTGGCGGTCCACCACTGTGCGATTTAGAAGATGTTTTCTTCCTCGCACGACCTCCTTGTGGAATCGATTACCATCAGCGATTTTTCCGGACCGATACGACTTAGGGACCTTCAAGAAAAGAGCGTACTCCTTTTTAAAAGGCCGGCAACGCATCTGCGATTCCCCTGGTGTTGCAGTTGTTCATGGGCGGCGGTACTCATTTACCATCAGGTGAGCCGCATGCTCGTTTGCCCCCTCTCCTATAAAAAAAATTTATTATCTATTTGTTTCTTCTTTTCATTTTTTATATTCATTTAACATTCATGAAGGACGATTTGTTTTTTTTTAATAGAATAAGGGTGACAAGCGAGCACACAGTTCATTAGATGGTAATTGGATGTTCAGAACCATAGACATCTACATCGATCCTCGATTAAAAATTTAAATGCCAATGCATTGTAATTCCTGAAGACTAAGATGGGATGCTTCATTACGAGTAAAGGTGTCTCGGGTCCTTTATATTAACCTTAATACGAAGCAGCATTATTCTGCTATTTTACGCTGGTATTTTGTAAGAGCGTGGTCCTATACCGGTCGAGTCGACCCATTTGTCCTGCAGCCATAAAGTACCTGCAGTATTGTTACCACGTAAGAAGCTTGTTTAGTGTGTCCATGCGCCTTTATACATAAAACACTTGTGTTGAAATTGGCCGGTCGAACACTAGCCTCCATGCGCCAGTAGCCTTATACAAACGATATGTTTTATTAATAAAAAGTGAAACATAAATAATTTAGTTTTAATTTATTAATTTCTATCTCCTTCGTCGGTATCAAATTTCTGGTGAGGGTAGAAAGGTCCCGGTGGTTCAAAAGCGCCTTTATCTTCTGTAAGAGTAGGATATGGATGATGTGGCAGTGCACCCATCCATTGTGGATACCAGTAAAGACCCTGTGAAATTATTAAATATATATTTTAGATACTATATTTATAATGTACGGCCGCCCCATATTGGATGGAGCGACGTCCTAGTATGAGCTGCAGAAAGTCGATGGCTCAGGACCGTTCTTTGTGGCATTCCTTGGTCTTGGTCTGTATTCAGCAGTGAACTTATGATGGGCTGTAATGATGATGATGAGGATATTTTTAGATGAAGGCTCCATTGAACATTAAATAAAAAAATATACTTTAAGCAAAAACCAAGTGTTTTGTTCTATTGTTGAAACAGAAACAGACAGAAACAGAAGTTTTTTTATTCAATATAAATTATAAATAATACTTATTCACTCTTGTTTAGTTACCACTGGTTCGAAAAAAAAGCCTCTGTCCTGGGAAGAACCTGCAAGAAACCCAGCGGGACTTTTTTAAAATAATAAAACTTTTATTTTTGTGTACGTACATTGCATTTTCATAAATGTATTGAGAGACCAAAGTTAATATATTAATTTCCTAAAATTTTGTCGCAGCGACTCTAGGCTTTAAATCATAAATTGCTCTTATGGGCCTCTTCTGTAAAACAAATATAATTTCAGTGTCAGCTGTGTGTCCCCATAGCAAAATACCATACGACATTATGCTATGGAAATAGCTAAAGTAATAATATGAATATTTCCTCTCATGTTCCTAAAATACCAAATTTTGTCTTAGGCATTTTCGGCAATTATTTCTAAAGGACATAACGCTTATTTCTATAAACCTTATAACTCATATTACCTTATTTCCTGCTGCGTTGCATGTAAATCTGTCGTCATGCAGTTCCACAGAATCCAAGTAACTCTTTCCGGCAATTGATCCGTAATTTGGAGGATACATGAAAAGACATCCGTCCAGTATATCTGAGAAAAAAAAAACTTTGATAAAAATATTAATAACAAGCATTTTAAAGTGGACCAAATCTGAAAACGCTGTACCTATATATATTTTTTTATAGGATAAGATGACAAACGAGCTCACAGTCCACCTGATGGTAAGTGGTTGCTGTGATCCATAGACGTCTACATCTATCCTTAATAAATAATCAAAATGCAGATGCGTTGTAACCCGTGAGGACTATGATGGAATGCCTCCTTTCCAGTAAAAACGGCCTCCGGTTCTCTACACTCACCATACGAAAGAGCAGTGTTAAGCTGCTATTTTACGCTGGTATTTTGTGAGAGCGTGGTCCTGCCCCGGTCGAGTCGACCCATGCATGCTACAACTATAATACTAATATAGCTGTTTAAACTATCACAGTTTCATATTGTTGTGGAGTAGTTCTTGATCAGTGGGTAAATAGCCTGACAAATTAGCTGAAGGGAAACACAAAATAGCGTATTCGTTTTTATCGCAGTACAAAAAGAATTCTCGCTGCTATCTCTCAGAAGCTATTGGATCTTTTTAGAATTTACCTCATTTATGTATTAGACATAAGAGAGAGAGAGAGAACCGTGGTAGCTCAGATTGTTGGCGCTCGCGCTAAATTTGACAGTACGCGAGCAACCCGGGTTGGATCCCGGTCGGCACCTATGAAATTGTTAATTGCAGTTGTAAGTGCTGATTTACCACGTGCTCGGTGGTGAAGGAAAACATCGTGAGAAAACCTGCATGTCTGAGAAATAAGAAAAAAAAAGTATTTCGAAGACATGCGAAGTTCGCCAACACGCATTGGGGCATCGCGGCGGACACTTCCTTGCCCTAAAACCCTCTCAGAAATGAGAGGAGGCCTGTGCCTGGCTGTGGGACGTATATAGGCTGTATCTCATGTATTAGACATACATTCCTTGGGGGAGGGAGCCCTATGTTCAGTAGCGGACTTATTAAGGACTGTAATAATGGTGATGCTTTAACACCTACGGAACTATAAGGAGTGGTGGATTCTCTCACGCCACCTTCACACCGTACCCCCCCTTCACCTCCCGTAGTTTCCAGTGAAATATTACAGGCTTATAAAAGAAAAATTTGATCTTATGAATATCTGACAGCTCAGTGGCACAAAGGCTAAGGGTTTGGCAACGAAATCGCGGGCTCGAATCCTGTACGGAACATATATTTTTTGTAGGATAGGGTGACAAACGAGCACACAGTCCATCTGATGGTAAATGGCTGCTGCAACTCATAGACATCTACATATATCCTCAATAAAGAATCAAAGTGCAGATGCGTTGTCACCCGTGAGGACTAAGATGGAATGCCTCTTTTCCAGTAAAAAGGGTCTCCGGTTCTCTACACTCACCAAACGAATCACAGCAGTGTTAAGCTGCTATTTTACGGTGGTATTCTGTAAGAGCGTGGTTCATCCCCGTCGTTGTAGCACGAATGGGTCGAGCCGACTCATTCGTGCTTCAACTATACTACTAGTATAGCTGCAGCATGGTTCTACCACGTGCAAAATATAGCACAGGCCGTTCATTTCATAGAGGGTTTTTGAGAAATTAATACACGTATGTCCTCGAAATATTTAAATCGTTAGGCATGCAGGCCGCACATGGTAAATCAAAACGAACCCAGGTTGCTCACGTACTCTGAAACTGTTGTTTGTGAGCTCTGCGTTTGAGTTACCACGGCTCTC